TAATACGTTGTTTCACAAAACGTACATATGTAACTATTACGTTTTGAACTCAACACTTTTGCTTATTACGTATTAATTTTTGCAATCTCTCCCTATTCCCGCCATGGAGTCAAAAAATTAGGAAATCACCCCTTTGACGTCAAATTTGGAGTTCACTTTGAATTTGCCTAAAAGATATAGCATTGTCGAACTGGAAAATCGGCGGTTTTCTATTAATTAACTGAATCGACATTATGTGTATGCAGCACAAGGTTCAAGTTCGGTTAACTTTGGCATGTACGGGAAATAGCAGTGGTATTGGGGTGCTGAATCAATTTACAAGTTCTATTTGAAGAGAGAAGGGTTCTCCAAAACTAGAAAGCTAGATATGGACGCCCTTTGAATGAAGTAACTGCAAGCTACTTCTCAATTGCTTATTATCGCCAACAGGTTTACTTTCTACATATATCCCTTTAATAGTTTTAGCTCGTTTGAGAAAATTATCTTGGCCATAATTAAATAATATAGCATTTAGGACTTGAAAACTACAATCCAAATCCCTATCGGTAGACGTTTTGACCCGACTGCGCCAGAAGAAGGGTTATGCTTTTGGAGAGTATGTATGTGTGTATGTATGTATGTATATTGTTTGTCACGCTCTGCAGCCTGAACTTGAGAGGTGTCGTTAGATTCGTATTTACTGTGAGAGTGACAATGGGTATATCAAAATAATTTCTTAATTACACAGAAACGCAGTCGGGTGTTTTAGATTTTTTAAATTATTTCTGCTTAGGTCAGAAAGCTGATCGGTTGATTTCAAGTCCTCGTAAAAAACAAATTAAAATATGAACCGAACATTAAATCGTCCAGTTAGCATATCCAATAGTCAACATTTCTTCCAAAAAGCTTCGCCCAAACCGTGTTATTTATAACACAATTTTGCTACGCGTCAATAATTCAGATTTGTGAAGCGCGAGGTATCAAAACTACTTTGCCGCGGTCGTTAGAGGCCGTGCGAAGCTTTGGACTTACAGGGGTGACCATATAATAGAAGTTTATACCGCGCTTTGTCGACTGAAACAGTGAATTCGCTTTGCTAAGTTACGAAAACAAATATAAGTATGTGTCCAGATAGTCGAAAAGATTTAAAAACTGATCATATTGTTTAATGAGGATAAAGAATGAATGTTATTAGTAATACCTGGACTTTTTATGCCAAAAGTTGGCGGTTCACCTGACGTTAAGTGATAACCGTCGCCCATAAATATTTGCCACACCCATAGGGTTACAGATGCGTTACCAGCTTTTAATGAAATGGACCCCAGTGTCATTCATTCACCAGACGAAACGCAGAAGCATAACTCTTCCACTTCACGCCGGACTTCTGTGAGGGCGTGGTACTTACCCGGATGGACATGCCCGTTCGTGCAACGGTGAACACTGTTGCGTGCGTCTAAAACAGTTAGACAATTTTATGGAGATAATAAGAAAAAGAACAGTAATAAACATAATAAGTCAATATTCGCTCTTTCACACTGGTCACTTGTGCAACTGTTATTGCGTGACCAGGGATAAAAATATGGAGAGAGAACGATAATAAAAATACTAAGTCCCTATTTAATCCGGCACAGCGTGGTCGCCCGTGATGCGCGGCTGTGGAAATAATATATGAGTGCATTAGGTACACGTGTCGGACATCTTTTATTCATTCGCAGCCTCGTCTGAAACATCTCAGCGGCGTATCTCAGACGCTAAGTACGGCCACCGCAGGATAAAGGGCACATCTGTGCATCCAGGACCCTGAATAACGAAACTTACAAAGAGTTTCCTTTTCGTTATAAAACAAAATCCACAGTCATTTGTTTGTGCGTCTACGTTGTAGTGTACATATTTATGTGAGAAGGTAAACGAGCTGCCGAATGATCTGACTGTAAGTGTACTAACTATGGGGTTGCTCATACGTGGCTGTGTTGCCAACCTAGAAAACATTGGGCCACACTTACCCGATTCATCAAACGAAACGCAAACGTATGAAATGTCCTCTCACACCCGCTCTTCTATGAGGCCATACTTCAAAAGTGAAACAGCGGAAGCTGCCACATGACTCTACAACAGTAAAAATACAGTTGCATTTAAAGATTATCCATTGAATAGTTATATCATTACATCATTAGTATCATTAGTATCTTAAAAATTCCTCGTATAAATATAACTCCTACTTACATAGAAGCTCCTAAGAATACTTACCATCAGGCTAACCGTTTACTCAGTTGGATTCAATTAAAATAAAAAAATAAACCCTAATATTATTTTGATGTGTCAGTTGACAATGCCATGATATATAAAAATAGAACGAATCTATATATTAATACGTGAGGCAAAAAATCTTTACCCCTTTTAACGAAAACTGCGAGGACGGAGGAAGGATAAAAAATACATTAAATTAAAAAAAAAACATTGCACACACTACCATGTATTTGACACGTGTGTGCCAAATACACGCATATATACTCTTTTGTTTATTGTCAAAGTCTGTGGTCATCTTAAAAATAAATTAATATTGTTCAAATTTATAATTTAAATTAATTATTGTCGAATATCGACCACTGAATGACCGCTAGTTTATTCAATATTTCCAATACCTCCCCCGATTTTAGTTATTAGGCGAATGATAATAATTAATAACAAGGGTCTCTTAACCTACTACCGACGGCAAGCGAATTTGGGTCAACTAATAAAGTAATCAGGTTTAAATATTTAATTAAAGGACGAACGGCCGTTAAGCCTTTCGCATATAAAACGAACGGACGGAATAGATTCCATTTGGAGACCACGTTCCAATCACCCTTAACTCTACCCGGCACTTAGTGATTGCGTCTAATCCGATATACAAGTTTTAATACCCGGCCCGCTCCGCCGGCGGCTAGGGAAAAAAGGGACCCGAGTTAAATCTGGAAAAACTGCCGTGATTCACACGCTGTCCGGGTACAGCCCTTGAATTAGGAATGAAAATTCCATTTTCAAATAACACTACTTTTTATTTCGCAAAAGGCGTCTGGACAGTACAAATTTTATCGTATTAGGTAATTATTTCCATAAAAGATGTTATGACAGATTTTTTATTATTATTATCTTAAATAAGTGTTGCGATAATAAATAGTAATAATAAGTAATAAAATAGTAAGGCATTTTGTAAATCATTTATATTGACGGTGTCTTTAATATAAAACTAAACTGTGTGGTTCTTTAAAACGACAATATTACACTGCAAGAAGTTAAATTGAACGATATAAAATTATTGAAATATCTGAAAGATAACTGAAAACTATGCAACATATTGTAGGTATATAGGTACCTAAATAATTAGATTACAGTTATATAAAGCCACCTACCTAAGAACAGTGAAAGCCATCTCTAATAGGATGTGTGCCTCAACGACTTACCAGCCCTTCAAAAGATATTGTTACGATAATACATTGAATACTTTCTATTAAGAATCATTGGTATGTGTACCAACAAAATCTGCAATTGAGCAATAGGAAGATCCATTTACTGAAATTTTTAACAATTAGTTTAAGCAAATTGCTTGCAAATACCATAAACTTCTATGAACTATTTCCATGGACAAAGCCAGATTCTAAGTCTTTGGAACTTAAACCAGTCCATAAGTAACCTTGCCTAAAATATCGAAGAAGTAAAAAATAATAAGTACGCTAGCCTAATCGAATCTATTTTTCAATGTACTATAGTAAAAATGCAAATAATAGTTTATGGGCTAGATGAAGTGATGATTGCTCAACTCTGGCGTGTTGTGTATTTAATGTTTTCCTAAAAAAAAGGAAAGATTTCGGCGAAAATTGCTTAAAGACGAACCTTTAACAGAGATTTTGGTCTTAATCTACTTCAGTTATGTATATATAGATATACCTATTATATCTGCCGTAATAAACAATAGAGAAATGATTACACCATAATGCACTTCACCGTCCTCACGGACGGGGACAATCAAAACATCCCCCGCCAAAATGTATACTCTGCCTGTTGGCCCCGTGCTCCGCTGACGAAAGTTAACAATGTAATTTTTCGTATCGCATAAAGCGCCGCTCCGTCGCCACCTACCGCAATCGACAAAAGGAACATGACGAAACTTGGAGAGCGTACTCCCCCGACACAAACGGGAGTGAGCTCGTTACCATTCATAATTCAGGCAAAACTCCGGCCACGTTTTCCCATTGGAAATTTTATAAGGTTTTTATTGCTGCTAGGGATGTTTATAATGAGATCCACATACACTAGATACGTTTTTATTTGGAACTCTACTTATTCCGCCTCTACGCGGGAATAACATTTCAATATCGAAATGTTTTACATATCGATATTTTTATATAGTTCTAACCGTGGGTTGTATAAAGTATTGTTTGGATTTATTTTTTATAAAACATAGACGTTATCTTTAAGAACTGATTATAAAAAAAGAGAAAGTTTATGAACTTTTATTTTCCGTTAAAACTAAACTAAACTAAAATTACTTTTGTACATTAATAGTGTATAAATAATCGTGACCTTTCATATATTTCTCATTCCATATTTGGGATCAGTTTTTATTTCGCTCAGTTCGCTCGATATGTCGGTTTTGAAACATCACTAACAACAACGCGTCCCTACCATCAAAAGTTCGCGCGCTTTGTGGTATTTGACAGCTTGCGAAAGCGGGAAACTAGATGCGTTCACCTAAAATTCGTTTTGCTTTTTAATAATTCAAAAAAGGTTTAAACTGCAACGTATACGACTGTACTAATAATATCTAATTTCCTTTTCTTTAAATGGGGAGCACATGCTTAGTGGTTTGGGAAATTAAATTATCAATAATTCATTAAATTTAGCACGTGTTTACACAAATATAAAATTCTACTACCTAATTGTTTAGTTGTTAAATAAAACTATATATGTAATTAACTATCTTTAATTGCTCTGCATTTCTGTACATTTACAGTGACATAGGGGTTTATGTGAAATGCAACATGGATTTCGACATGTAAGAATAAGTACTATAAATATAGAAAAACTCATACCCTTTTCCCCTCTACGTTATTAACCATATTCGTGGTAAATTATATAAAGAAAACCCTTAAAATCGGACTCCGTTCCTGTTGTGATGTATAAACCAAATGAAACGAAAAAGTTAAGTCATGTAAATAAGGGACCGATTCGAAATTTAATGCCGACGATACATAAAATAAAGTAAATAAATTGTGTGTTTTTCTCATTTTTGCTCATTGCTACTTCAGCTTTACTTCTAAGAAACAAATTTGGTAGAAGATGAAAACGGCACGTCCTTTGCGGCCAAGAAGTTAATTTGTGCCTTGGAACAGGCTATCAAAGATTATTTCTACTTTGTAAAACGATTTACATTATAGTAAACAGACTCCAGGAGGAATACTTAGTATATCCCCTCTTTTAAAAATACATCAGCTAGTTATTAGAAACATTTCTTAATATTCTAGTACCTCACAATTGTTTTGGTTTTCTTCTATATAATACTTACTAAACCGTTTTAGATTTTCCTCTACCAATGGAACTGCATTATCGTAAAGGAAGATCGTGTCGCTTTTGAGGTAGAAACCTAGAAATGTATGTTCGTTCCATGAGATTGTGGTACTCCTGGACGTGTATACATATATAAAGCTGGTACGTGTCTATACAACAATTGGAAATTATGAAAAAACATTGAATATACAAAAGGCTCGGTTAATGATTGTGCTTTATTATCAGACCTCACTTGTTCAGCGCCGTCGTATAAATTGTATTATTTACAAGATGTACGTTCGAAAAATAATTGTATTACTACTCTTTGACGCATAAGGTTGTAAATGTGGCAGCCGGGGGAGTTTCTCGACTTGATTACATTAAATTTTGGCGAAATCATTCTCGGAGAATTTCCACGGCGACAAACTTTAAAGGATCTGCATCAAAGTTTTATGTCACAGATATTTGTTGAGAACTTCGATTAAAGAAGCATAGTTAATATACGAAAATATTATATTTTAGTATTATCTAAATACGAATAATATTGTCAATTTTATTAATATACTAGCTGACCCGGCAAACGTTGTTTTGCCGTATAAATTTTTGTAGGGTAGAAAAAAATGTTTGGGGTGGACCACCGTTAACATTTAGGGGGATGAAAAATAGATGTTGACCGATTCTCTACCCTGGCCGATATGCACACAAAATTTCACGAAAATCGGTCAAGCCGTTTCGGAGGAGTTCAATTACAAACACCGTATATATTAGATTACTTTTGGTTTTTATTGAAATTATTCATTTATAACACTACCTATTTAGCCGATTTTACTATGATATTGCCACGCAACAGCTTCTGCTGTTGTACGAATAGGCAGGCTCATTAGACAACTTATAGATATTTAAATTGTTTATAGTGCTAATCTTTGCACTTAAGATTGAACATTCTTCTACAATCTTTTCGCACATTTTCTACATATTTTAATCAACTTATAGATATTAAACTTTGCATAAATTCAAATAATATACACATATTTATTTATTTTTTTCCTTTATTTCTAGACTATTCGGTTTATATGAGAATAATACTGCCAGTTAAATTCAGAACAACGCAACGATGTTGGATAATATTTTATCCAGGTCTGGCTGAATCTCCAGCGCCAAGAAACTGATTGGCAATTAACTTTATTACTATTAACAAGCCCCAACTTTATTACTATTAATGGAACTGAAATAATTCAAGCGGATACGCCGCTTGAATTATTTCAGTTCCATTCAACCGCTACTGGGTAAAGAAAGAAGAATGACACACCTGAAGTTACACATTAGAATTTACGGAATTTAAGAGTATAAATTAGGACTTCTAATCTAATCAGAATAGATTTTAATTTAGTAAGCAGCGTTAATAAAGTAAGTTAGCTATTTCCTTCTGTTAGTGACACGACATTCGCTTTGAATTAGTTCATAATCAATAATAACATTAAGTGTACGAGAGACACTTAAGAGATTCATAACGTCATTAGCAGCTGACCAGAAAATAAATTTGACAGAAATACTTCCTTTTATCTTTGTCCACACATCAAATAATGTTCAATAACGGTTGAAAACGATTTTTTTTTATTCTAAAACTTTCTAGTAATCTCTTAAACTCTTCCCTAATAATTGTTTATATTTATTTTCTATTCATGTCACACAGTATGTAATAACCCAACTCAATATACATATTTATTACGATTACTTATAATTAGTGATAAACGCATTAACTCAACAGAATCCAAGCCACTTTTGTATAAAAATGTTATTCAGACTTTCTAGCATGTAAGCAGATTCCACTCCTATGCCTTATATTGTGATGTGTGTTCATATTACCTATAAAGAGTTCGTTACAATAATATGAACTCAATTGCGAATGGGTTTAGTTCGAATGCAGTAATACAATACTAAATTATAAATCTTTTAATAACACGACTACTGCAACGTATGTCACTTCGTCGAAATGATCAAGGCATAACCAATTCAAACTGAATATATTGGTGACTTGTTTGCTCTGAATAGAAAAAACTAAATCCAATGAAATACAAAGTCATTCGCATAAACGAAGACTAACAGCTCAGCGTCACTAGACGCGCATGTTTACGTTAGTAATTGCGGCAGCCCTAGCGTCGCCCGGCGAACTCTATTAATTAAAACGCTGTGTAAACCGAGCTTTATCGGGCGGCGGCCGCGGCACCCAATTAGGGCGCGCGCAACGCAACGCTTCGCGCCAAAAATTATGCGGCTTAACGGCTGCCGCTAATTTTGACAAACGCCCGTTCGGAAGTCACGGAGAATGGAGTGTGATCGATTACCCTATTACGCGCTGTTTTTGATAGCGTTTCGGTTTTTATGTCAATTATTTTATCGCGTTCATTTTTGCCGTTTGTTTTAACAGCATATTTACTTTATTTATTTTTTACTTTGTTCATTTTCATATTTACTTTGTTATACAGCAATCATTTTATTTTTAAGGTAGATTGGTTATATGTAGAGCTTTTATTTCAAATCTTTTTCAGTTTTAATACAGACATTGTCAGTATTGCAATAAGAAATTTTCTTAAAAAGATGGATGAGACAAGTTGAAGTTTCGTTACGAAATTGGTGTTGTCATGATTTCAAAAAGATGACAACCAAACCAAACCAAAAGCCAATATCATTTATAATTTAGGTAAAAGTATTCCATTCATCAGTCGAGGCGTCGCTAAAGACCGGCGGCTGGCGGAGATAACCGCGCAGTAAACCGACAACAATACCCTGCCTCGCACTCAATAAAAGATGATAACACATGAAATATGAACTGATGACACCCCTCTGGCAAAACAGCATAATAACACGAACGTCTGCTTTAGTTCATTTACAAAAAGCCCTTATCTCCTCAACAGTGTTAGTACGTTATGACGTTTTCAAATTGAACACGATACAGGCATAATAAACAAGCGTCCAACGAAAACAAACCGCAGCCCGATCACGAATACAGCGAAATTTGCGAACGTAAACGTTCCAAGTTACAACGTTTCGGAACGGCGCACTCACGGCGCAAAACAAAAGCGCGGGAACCGACGCCATTGGTGGAGAAGGTAGGCGGACGCCCGCATAATATGGCGGAAATATTACCAGCCGAGGAGGTATTCAAGGTACGCTCGAGGAAGGGGAATGGGGAGAATGGAGCCTCCATTCTCCCCATTCCCCTTCCCTCGGAGAGGTTAATTACCCACCGGCCGATAAGGCAGCGGCTCGCTAATTACGTACTTATGGCCGACTGAAATTAAGTTATCGTTGGCAGGGAGACGACGCTCACTTTGTTTGCGTTCCGTTTTACGGATAATATGTATTCTGCGGCGCTCAAGAGTAATGGAACAAAATTGGAGGCTATTCAGTTTTATCTTTTATGTCTAAGGACGACCGTCGCGTCGTTCCTAGATAATGGAATCATTGTTCAAGTAAGCTCTACCCTCGGGACTCCTTTTTAATCGTTTACTTAATTTCGCCTTTGTTTCTCTTTTCAAAACGTCTGTTTTAAGAACGGAGCGCTAAACGTATTTTATATCCGCGATAAAAACGCAATTTGAAGACGAGTCACGTTAAAGGAATTAGCATTTTGTATTTATGTAAGAGACGTATTCGCATACGGGTGGCGCACAAAAGATATTTCCACGGCCACAAACAACGCGGCTGGCAGCTGAGCTTACGAATAAAAAGCGATAAAATAAAAAAGACTCGGCGACACAGCGTACTCGGATACTTACACGCGCACAAATCTTGTTCGAAGTCAAATTTTACTGAAGCGAGTGAAATACTCAAGGAAATAGGGTCGAAAATCGTTTGCCGCATCAGTTGGCTGGAAGCAGGTTCTATTTGGTAGGTTTATACATATTTACCACAAATCGGCTCAGCGAGAGATCGCGGGATCCGTTCGCCGGTTTTATTTTTCCAAGCTCTAAATGGAGTCGGTGGAGCATTTAAATAAGCTTCGCTGCCTGAAGTATGGTAATGTTAGTAATACTCGGGAAGAAACCGCGCGATGTTCCAAGTGACGGCCATTTTGAATTTTTGCGTATTTCGTTCTACGGGTCTGAATTACTTGTAAGTATTACAGGTACAAACAAATCTCGACATAGTCATTAATAAGCGAACAACACCGAGAAAGGTAATGATTTATATTTGTATATATTTCATTACAATATAAACACTTTCAAATTTATTAATGACTCCATTTCAATTTTCGACCGACTTCAAAAGCGGAGGAGGTTCTCAATTAGACTATATTTTTTTAATTTTATTTTTATGTTTCTTATCTCAGAACTTTCAACTGAGTAAGCCTATTTTGATGATTCTATATTAGAAGATTCTATATTTTGCTTACCGTGTGCTCTCATATTAATTTCATTGGTATTGGATCTTTGGCTCCGGAGATAATTACGGAACTCCTGAAAATCAATTATAAAATGTAAACAGAGCGAGATATTTGAAGTCGGTTTTTTTTTTCGTTAATATAAATTAGACTTGTTAATAGCAAAGACAAAAAAATTTAATACACGAAGTCTATAACATGGAAACCGAACTATTAATTGGTAACACTCCACTAATTGGTCTCATTCCAATGCCTAATTAATCAAACATGTGTTAAGGATGGAAAAAATATGTCACCATATGGACCGCTACAAAGACAGGCCGCCACTTTTTGCGAAATAATTAGTTACAAATCATGGAAGAAAAAAGCAAGCTAAGAGAAGCTTAACGGCAAGTTCTTTATACATGCATGGCGTGAGGTATCTCCACGCATGATCTCTCAGGATATGAAGGGAATATTTGAAAATGCTTCGCCCTAATGACACATGGTTTGTCCTCAAAGGAGTTCTCTTTTGAAATAAAACTTTTTCTAATGAAACATTTATTCTGAATATTTCTAATGATAACAGAGACTTGACTAAGGTATTATTGCTATTATTGTAGTAGGGTAGTGTAGCCAATAGTACAAATAATCACGATAAATACCAGTCCAATAAATATTTCCGTTCAAATCTTTGTCCGAAAGAGATATATGAGCTTTATCGTTTAAATTTATATTATGATCATATTGCATATAACACTTAAGATTAAGAAACAAGAAAGAATTTTTAAGTTAAAATGTATTCATGACCTATATGGTGCGTAGTCATATTGTAAGTTTTAAACACTTTTGTTACATTGATTTTTTATTTTTACGCGATTATTGTACATTCTTATATGAAACTATTTTACGGATTTATCCCGTTTTAATTACATTTTAAAATTCCCGACTTCCAAACCCTTTCCAGCGTTCATGGTCACAGAATAGACAGAGTTTTATCTCGTCTTAATGACAGAATTGACCCGGGGAAATACCCAGTTTAGGTACCAACCAGTTTATAATTTTCAATTATCACTGATGTTATACATATATTATAGAGCGTGTAAAGCTTTTTTGTAAATGTTTTTGAGTTTCTTTAAATCGAATCCAAAAAAACTTCGTCCGTCTCACTTATTAAGTTCGTTTCTTAGGTCTACATCAAGAACTAAAACAACTAATCATATTTTCATGCGAATTAATAATTACTGGCCATCTTGGCGACTTAACGTTTTCCATGCACCGCCGAAAAGAGGTACAGACAAATTACAATGGTTGTTTGCAAACCAGAAACGTACTGTATTGACACAAGAGAATAGAAGAAAGAAGTAAAGTAAAAGGATGTTTGGAAAAACTATTCATTTAAAATTGTAATTTTTTATTAATAAATGAACAAAAACTTTCGGCTCTGCGGGATTCGAACCTGTGTCTTTTGATTTCACTCCCAGACGCTTTACAAATTAAGCTAGGCGGCCGATGACCTCACGGCGTGAAAATCTTGACATCTATCTACGTTCATTCTATTGCAGTCTTAGAATGACTGGCGATGTCGAGTGTGCATCCTTTACAGCAACCTTACAAATAACATACAACGATGAATATTTGTAACGAGAAACAACTATTCATTTAGTGTTAATATCATGTTCAATGACTATAAAAATAAAGATATCATCAGCTACCATTGATGGAAGATATTGTACTTTTTATTAAAAGTATGCAAGGTTGAAATTGTTGTTTTTAGTAACAACATTTCAATAAGTTTATAAGGCTCGTCGCTTATCAACTTTTTCGTACCATTTTAGTGATTTTCATCTCTTTTAATGAAATGCCTATTTACAGAATTAAGAATTGACATTATTTCTTCTGTTGTCATCATTGATCATTGCAAATTTTCTTCAATACAAACAAATTTCTTTGACATAAATAATCACACAAATTAAACAGATTGTTTATAGATGACAACTTCGACGTTTTCATTATTTTAAAAGCTTTTATGAAAAAATTAAATGTATTGCTTAAACCATTATCATTCGATACTATAGGAAAAAATCATCATTTTTTTTTACTGTATTATAAGAGATTTATGGCGAATCGACAAAAAAGCACTTTCAGGAAATAATGTGCATAATAAAAATAATAAAAATAATTCCCATCCTGCATTAACCTGAAGTAACAATGCTGAACAATTAATAATTATACTACGCTCATTTATTTAAGCGTTCCAAAAATTTACACTTTTGAGTCGCTAGTGGCCCGTGAGAGGTTTCTTTCCCGCCCATAGCCCACTTAATTAGCTTCCGTAAGCTGTAAATCTGGCTTACAAAGCGACGTCATCGCCGCTCCCTTTGATCGGCAAAACGCCGTTTTCTGAACGCGACGTTTAGTGTCAAATGTGGCGGGAACTTTGACGTTTATTGCTTCTTTATGGCACAAATGGTGCGGTGTAATGCGCTTTGCACCGATAGATTAGCATTATTCAATTAACTGTGATTCTGAAATAATTTATCTTACGTGATTGCTTGATTACGTGATGGATCTGCTCTTTGTTTAAAAAAAAAACTATGCCATTACGAAGCTGACGTGCTACTTATTTAGCGACGAGTATTAAACGCTAATGATAAGTAGTAAGCTTATGTGAGCTTACCAACGTGTTTTACTTCGTGAATAAATGCAAATATTTTTACTAACTAGGTGCAGTACTATTTACTAAGATTAGTTAACTAATTCATTAACAATCTTTCTGTACGTGTGTACATCACTGAACTCCTCCTAAACGGCTGTGCCGATTTTAATGAAATTTGGTGTGTGTCTTCAGGTCGATTCGAGAATGGTTTAGACTCACAATTCTGTCCACTTTTTTTAAAAAAAATTATTTATAAGTTGTATTCGGATTTCAGTCGTGTTTACAGACCAACATCTGTCGGGTCCGCTAGTATATTTATAATACTTATTCCTAAAGTCACATTAGTAGTGTACGCATATTATTTTACATTAAATAATACCCATCTGATTGGAGAAGTCACTATAACCTGGTACCGGTTATCGCTCTTTGGAATCCGTGCACGCCAAAGACAACTGAACTTTAAATTTCAAACTTTTTCTTTAAATTTTAACTTTAAATTTCAAACTCCTATAAAAGGGAACATCTAGAAGAATTTATTAAATAATGTAAAACTTGACTTTTAATCAATTCTACGAATAGAAAACCGGGAACCATTAAAAAAATGCAGGTGACAACCCTAGCAGACAACAATGCCGCTAGTCCGTGTCCATTTAGGTTCGCGCACCATGTAAGCTATTGTAATTGGATATGACATTAGTCGGACCGAAATTATGCGATAGGCGAACGGTTATCTGGCCGTTACCGCGCAGCAAAACCCACGTTACTAAAACCAAACCACTACTATAAGACACGAACTCGACAATACTCGATCTGTAACTCTAATAAATATAGATAATGCAGTGTAAGTAGCAAAATACTGAACCTATATTGAAAAAATGCACCCCGAATTTACACTTAAATTACTATAATCACTTCTATTACAATAACCTCAATTCACTAGGTCGAAGCAACTCAAGACAACGTGTTACGCCTGTCACTTCAAAACGCCCATTGCCCGCAGCCTACAAGCGAACAGACTTTTAAATTGTTGTCGGTGCTGCCACCATAAACCAATAGAAATACTCTGTATCAGTGTTGCCTAGTAAAATATCAATAACCCATTTTTTGTGTATGCTAACAATATTTAGACTTCGATGATCTGTATTTGTCTTATACAAGATCGGCGTGCAGTGGAAGTATTAGTTGTACTTTCGCGTTTCGTCTGATGAGTGAGGTAACCGGGGCCCACATATGAACAGCTTGGAAACGCATCTGCAACTTACCTTGTGTTATAGATGTCCAAGGGCGACGGTAGTCTCTTAACATCAGGTGACCTAAAAATATTTTCTTTGTAACTTTTCCGTCAACACAGGCTAGCTAAAGAGGAAATAAAATTTCTAACGTCATATATTTTGATCAATATTCAATAATATAATTTTAGGAAATCGATTAAACTATAAGGATGGGCGATGATAAACGAACTGTTTTTATAAGTAGTTATCTTCTATATATATATAAAAATGAATTGCTGTTCGTTCGATAAACAAGAGAACGGCTGGACGGATTTGGCTAATTTTGGTTTTGAAATATTTGTGACAGTCCAGGAAAGGTATAAACAATAAGAAATTATGGAAAAACTTTGTGGAAAATCGAAATAGTAACAATTTTATTTTCCCCTACAAACTGTCCAACATTTTATGCATGCGTTCCGAAAATTCTTTTTCTATGTGTTCAGATTCTCAAATTCACTGGAAATAATATGGCAAAACAACGTTTGTCGGATCATCTAGTTACCAATTAACCGTTAATAATAATATAGACTAATAATGTAGACTACCTGGCGTGAAAATTATTTCGCTTTACAATATATAAATATGAAATGAAATAAATGTGACAGATCATATAAGACGTATGATACGGAAACATATAGCTGTCTATAGAGTAGCATTCTAATTACACCAATTAGCGTTATTCCAGTGCCTCAGTTTCGGTGTGCTAGTGTCATACCTACCTCGTATTTGTATATAATATCACTGTGTCAAATAGATTCACACTCCCTTTTCATTTTGAGACAAGCAGCAAACGAGCATCTGGAAACATTCGATGTTGGGACAATACCGCTACCCATGGACATCTTCAACGACTACGAGATAATTACCGGGATGGTGGCATAAATACTACTTAAAGCGTCTCCGAAGCAGTGGTGCTTCCGAAAAGAGCAGACCAAGCCATGTGCCAACAGAACTTACTGGGCGACTCTACGTCAGAGTGAAGTCGCGAGTCTAACAATCTTTGGGCCTTCGTTGTCCTGGACGATATTCTTGGATGTCGTCCATTATGGCTTGTAAGCCGTCCTATCGATTTTAATTTACGATAGTGAAAAGGTTACAGGTAATAGTCACAGATAAATGTTTATCGATCTAATCTATGTCGAATATTAGTCGTAGTCTCGCTTCGTAAGCGTCGAATAACCGCCACTTTACTGTCACACTGAATATGACAGAAAAATAATGATCCAAACAGATACACATATTTTACCATAGACAATGCTTACGTTTTTATTGCAGAATCAGCCAATGGTAGAGCGTAGCGTAACTAATTAGGTCGCATAACGCACGCACCCGCACGCCCACTGTAATCGCTCTATCATATCAATCAGTCGGCCAGAAACAATCAATTAGAAAGCGATCCCCTTTCAATTATTCGCCGTATCGGTACGTAATTGCCTCGCCCGGTCCAAGGGGAGGGATTGAAGCCCCTATTACGTGGCGCAATAGCAAATGGACTAGGAATTTATATTGCTATACGTTAAGGAATTCCTTTCTTATCGATTCTTACTGCGGTGTAATTTTGATGAAATGTTTGCACTTCAATGTAAATTCCTTATTTCGTAAATGATATTAAAAATGTACTGTAACACATATTGTCTCGGGTGTCCTATTTTTTTATAACGAAAATAATGTAACTGCTTTGGGTGCACTGCATGTGTAATCACGTCGGGGTCACCAGTTTAGGAGCCGGCAGGAGGGAAAATAATAAGATGCAGTACAAAAAACAAGCCAAGTTGAGAAAACCATAATCTTTTATTGTCACTCATTGCTATAGTAATTAATATATATATATACAGCGTGTCGTTACCATCGCGACAATAAATGAACACACGTCTAACGCTACTTGCCAATAATAATAAAAAAATATTAAGGTTAAAAAAAATCCATAATTAAAAAAATAGGGGTAGGGCCACGCAGCAACGGTGGTAGGGCCACGCAGCAGCCTCGGCTGTTGCACGAATGGGCAGGCCCGTCCGGGTAAGTACCACGACCTCACAGAAGACCAGCGTAAAGTGGAAGTATGACAAATACTTTCGCGTTTCGTCTGGTGAGTGATGTAGCCGGAGCCCAATTTTCAAAAGGTTGTCAACGCATCTGTAACCCTCGAGTGTGGCAGATGTCCATGGGCGGCGGTATTCACTTATCATCAGGTGAACCGCCCGCTCGTTTGGCAACTCTTCGCATAAAAAAAAAAAAAAAAATAAAGCCAATTAAGTAAAAAAGAAACAAAATTTGTAACATCCTATACAATTCGCGCCACAGCGTCGCATTACTAGCCTCTCCTTCTAACAGTATGTTTTGTTTCTTTCAAATTCATTCAACCCATTCATATGCTTTGTGACCTTTACAAATAAACTTTACGTTACAGTTTTATACGTAAGGATATTCTAAAATTCTTTGTTTTGGAAAATTTAATAATTCTGTAAATATTGATGTTTAAAGAATATAAATGTTTAATACAATTTTAAAAAGTTATCCCCTATATTTGTGTTCATTTATTGTCGCGATTGTAAAGACACGCTGTATATATATATAATTTATCAACATAAGGGTAATGCTAATGAGTCGTCACACTGCTTTAGGATAAGTTCCTATTTGACATATTGTCAAATATGGAAAGTGATTTGGAACTCATAAAAGAAATCCAGTGGGTCCCTACTGTATATAAACATATATTTATGATTTTTGGTAAATACGTAGAATAAAATATTGTCATGTAAAGTTATTACAAATGTATTCAAAGAATCTGTTCCGCGAAGAATTAAATATAATTACAATTTAAAAAGTCTGTAAATTATAGTGCTTTGAATATTATTTCCTTTCTTAAATAATATAAAACAAAATTGAAAGTTAATTATTGAACATAATTATTTCACTTTGTGCTTAACATTACATTATGGTAATACATACCGAAAACTCATAGATAGCGTCCGTTGTCATAAATGAATATCATGTGAGGTACACAATGTTAAGCACAAAATTAGGCACACAATGTTAGGTAGACGTTATTTTTGAAGTTAAACTTCTGATGCGACTTCCAAAAAGGTTGCGTTAAACGTTTAAAGCTCCTGGGGAGGGGGAATAGAAAGAGACAGAGCGAGTGTGAAGCCGAGGCGAGGAGAATGCCGTCAAGCAGGCAAACGGTCGTGAAAAACTAGCCAATCCAAAAATTGCTCCGAGAGAGAAGATTAAAACAGATGAGCACCAGCCGATTTTTCCGGTAAAAAAATATGTCGCAACAAATGAGAGGTCTAATTTCTTTCGTGGAAAGATCCTGTTAATGATAGAATTTATAAACCGTGTAAGTTGATTGGCACATCTATTGCCAATCCGGATCGCTCGGCCATTACGACACGTAATAACACCCATCAAGTCTCGACACCTGAATCGTCGACAGTGTCTGATGGATGACCGCCATTTTCGTTGGCCGTCCGAAATTCGTATGCCGTTAGAAAACATCAAGAATGGCGGAACAAATAGGGGCTTGTTAATTATATAAAGATTACGAAAATTTCTTACGCATCTAAGTAGAATAAAACATTTAGTTACAAACCCCAGACAATAAAGTTTGTTCTTTTTATTTTAAATATTTTAATTCCTAAAGTAAAGTTTTAACGAAATATGTCTATTAAGTGACATCAAATTTCAATATGGAACAAGCACGTCTACGTTTTTGAGTTCTATTTTTTCTACAAATTTTAATTTTTAATCTTTTAAATGCAGAGATTAGCACTATAAAAATACAGTAACCCAAGCTTGATATTTAAAATATTTAATATTTAGGCTTTTCTTAATACAAGCCATGAGCTTTTAAATACTGCGTAAAAACTACTTTCGACGCACCTTTTAAAATATGAACTGTCCCTGTTGTCTTTAAAAATAATTCAAGTGACAACTAATCAAACTTTGAAAGCTCCAAAAATGATACATTTCCAAATTTATGTATTTCCAAAATAGTCGCGATATGGGTTGGTAAACGCCGTCGGGTGTGACCATGTACCCAGCGGCAATTATAAGCATCGGACTTTTCTTATTGGCTGTTCTGTTCCTATACATGAGGCGAAGATGGACAAAGGTTTGAATTCTTGTTTAGACGTACCAGTTTCACTTTCAATGTGTACCACAGACCCTAAATATTTTTTTGTTAGATTATTAAATTACAATTGTCTGCATTGATGGCGAATATCTAAGTGGTCGCCTCGCTGCCGTGTTGAGAATTCGACACACACGGGATATGTGGTCCTAGAAAATGTTCGGACACAGACAAAGTCTGCGCTGTGTGTTCATTAGAACACCCTTAACGCACAGGATTCCCGAGTATGGAAGTCGTGTATTTGTTAATAAATCAAAAATATCATAAACCGTATCAAATAAAACCAAACAGAAATATTATAGGTATATGTTGTCTGCTACGTTACAGTTTTTACAGAAACTATTCATTGAATATACATTCATTGAAATATAGAATGATGTACTTTTTAGTAAATTGAAAAGAATTGCAAAACACAATACATGATATTTCCTAATCTAAATCTATTCATAATTCCACTTATTGTTTTAAAGCACGGACTTTTTTTTTATGTGAAGTTGCCAAGCGAGCAAAAGGTTCACCTGATGTTGAGTGAATACCGCCGCCCATGGACATCTGGTTGCATATGCGTTGACAACCTTTTTGAAAATTGGGCTCCGGCTACCTCACTCATTAGACGAAACGCGAAAGTATTATACTTCCACTTTACGCCGCTCTTCTGAGAGGTCGTGGTCCTTACCCGGACGAGCCTGCCCATTCGTGAAACAGCCGAGGCTGCTGAGTGGCTCTACCACCGTAAGTACTTTTGCAATGTAAAAGTAACTAAGGTAACTAGCAAACGCTTTTCTCAGGAATATAACTAATTGAGCATCTTGTGTTAATACTGATCTCAAAATTTATTTGCGATTTTCGGTAATTTTTAAATTGAAAAAGCCTAATGAAAGTTCACTGTGCTTATAAAAGGTTTTTTAAAGCTATTTTTCGTAGAGTTAAAGAATTCAAAAAAGATTAATTCTGCAAACGATTTTTCTTCGCTATCACAGCGTAAAAGTGTAACAAATTGCATGCCAAAACCTGCTTTGAAGTATCAATCGTGTTGCCCTTCGACGCTCTTGTATCCTTAAGCTTTACATAGTTAGTAAGACTGAAAGAAAAATATGTAGAAAAATCTAGAATGCGTCAAATTCCTGGTGTTTTAGCAACCAGCAGTAGACCCACCAGCAGGGACGCAGCTCGTCCATCGCCTGTGCCCCCACCACAACGTAGTGCAGCGTTTCGCCGTTGAGCAAAAGGACAGCCTGGATGACCACCTCGACGCCCTCACTCGGAAACTCGCCGAGAAGGTTAATAACCTCTTTTAATCGATATGAATTTGATCCTTAAATATTTAATAAAACAAAACAATACGCCTTTATGCTTAAGGTACACGTAGTGGCTTCTGCTGTTGTATTAATGGGCTGGTCCGTCCGAGGAAGAAGCAGTCTCTAAGAAAACCGAATAAATGAAAGGCCCTATCCTATCGAATGTCGGCGACCACCACACCGAACTCTCCTCTATTCTGTGCCATTCTACAAAGACTCACGGCGTCTTTGATGTCTGTCCATTTTTTCAAATTGTCACAACCACAGCCTCAAAGAAAACCGGATAAATGAAAGTAATATGTACTTTTGAATTTCCTCTGGTGAATGAGGTAACAGGTGCCCAATCTTTTAAAGGTTGGCAACGCATCTGCAAAGCTACAGGTGTTTTAGATGTCCATGGACGACGGTTTTCATTTAACACAAGATGAACCAACTGCTCGCTTAGCCATCACACAAAATATAAATTATAGAAAAGATATTTAGACATAGACCGATAATGTTAAAATTTATAGAAAAATCTAGAACGACAGATAATGTTACTCATATTCGAACTACCTTGCTTACTATCATACTTAATAGTGAGCCTTCCAATATAAACCAAGAACAAGTGTTCAAAACTGTTATTTGCACTTATAATTTACTATTTTGCCAATATTGCTAGGGATTACCCTTGACATCCCAAGCCCTATGCTATATCCGCTGAGGCAAATGTCGTAGAAACGAAACTGTGGTAGAGTTAGTAAGTGACGAAGCAATTTCTGCTGTTGGATAAATGAGCTGACTCTTCCAGGCAAGTAGGGCGACTTCACCAAACACCGGCAAAATGTAAAAATATTTATAATTGAGTAAATAAACGCGATCGTGAAAAGAGTGAGGTAACCATGGCTCTCTTAAACGTCATGGGTTTTATCAGATCATGCCGGGTCCAAAAAATACGAACGAATTCGTGCACGCAGGAAGGGCGGCTGCGTCTCTCCAAGTCGAAGATCCGCCAGACACAAAACGAGATAGACAACCTCCACGCGATCGACAACGACGTCCGCCAGAAGTACAGGGAGATCATGGACTCGTTGAGAACGGACTTGATGAGCAACGAGACAGAATGCAAACGCCTCCAAGAACAGATAGAGTGGGTATCGCGAAGGAGGGCCGAACTACACGAAGAGGTAAAACATTTTCTTACCTACTTACGTATTTCTAGTATGTAGTTTCTCACCGCAAGTTACCGGGAATTTTTCTGCCTTCGCTGGAGTACCGCGCTTATATTAATTTTGTGCGATGTTTCTTTTCGTTGCTTGTTATTTTGCGTGTTTGAGGGTACACAGATAGAAAATTAGAAAAATTTTAATTTTCTTCTCGCCACATAACAAAAGTACTAGTTATACATGTTTTCATCACTACATAGTATAAAACAAAGTCGTTCCGCTGTTTATCTGTCCCTATGTATGCTTAGATCTTTAAAACTACGCAACGGATCTTGATGCGGTTTTTTTACTAGATAGAGTGATTCAAGAGGGAGGTTTATATGTATAATACATTGCACCCGTGCAAAGCCGGGGGCGGGTCGCTAATCTCAAATAAATGAAAAAAATTATACGGTTCTCGTTATGAAACAATTCCAAAGCTGTTCTCGATCACTTGTGATACCTGGAAATGTAGAGTGCACGATTTTCAACGTAATAGAGAGTGGTCCTCTTTACCTGCAGAATAGTAAACAGTACGTGTATGTATGTATGTATGTATGTATGTATGTATGTATGTATGTATGCATGCATGCATGTATGTATGTATGTATGTATGTATGTATGTATGTATGTATGTATGTATGTATGTATGTATGTGTGTGTGTGTGTGTGTGTGTGTGTGTATATATGTATGTATTTATGTATGTATGTATGTATGTATGTATGTATGTATGTATGTATGTATGTATGTATGTATGTATGTATGTATGCATGTATGTATGTATGTATGTATGTATGTATGTATAATAAATATCTATTCGTCAAAACGAGCTAGTAAAAACGCTTACTCCTAAATTTTGGGAGTCTTTGATGTAATAACTTTGTGATGTAAATATTTTTGTTAATTATTTTATCGTTACTGTTCGAGCGCAACGCCTGCTCGTTTACGATGACCAATTAAACGCATAGCGTAATTAGTTTTTATTAGCTGTGAGGTCTCATTTTGTTAAATTGCATGTCATGTCTGTTCACCTTTGTTCGTCATTGAGGCAATACACATTTTTGAGAAGTCCCGAATTTTAGTTTCCTTGAAAAATCCCTTGAAATTACCGAACATTTTGGTCCATAATCGAACCGGATTGCGGAAAATATATGAAGAATTATCAAAAATCGGCGAAATTGGATTTTTATTAATTGTGGAGACCGGACGGGTAGTACATAATTATAATATCACCCAACACTCGCTCAGGTATTATTTAATCATAGCATTAAGGATTGTAAAGGTTAGTGCTATTTAACTTGAGGATTTATTTGTTTAGTTTAAATTAAGTATCCTATGAATAGTTTCTAGGATTATCATTTATTTAATGATAATTTTTTGAAAATACGATTATACGTACTATTAGTAGGTACTAAAGTACAGTAGTTATTTACTACATTTATAATTGTATAGCTGAATTTTAGTTGACTATTCTTATCATATTAATTTATGTGTAGGTACATATTTGTAATGTTATGTTGGTGGTGAGATATTTTTAGGACTTCATTGTAGTATTGTATTTAATAAATAGTTTGTGTATTGTTCTTAAATTCAGACGTTAAGTAATTAGGAATTTATGTATTGAAGAATATAGCTTAGGTAAATAAAACTCGGAACCAAATTTCATCTTGTATTATATTTACAGTAGTTTGTGACCATCTTAGTTAAATTGTTATTATTGGTAGTAGTACATAAATACCTTATTGGCTTATAAACATTGCTCAAATTATAATAAGATATTTCAATAAATTTCAGGTTGACCTTCACTCGTTTCTCAGAATGTCCGAAGAAAGAGAACTAGTCAAAAGGCGAGGGAGCTTCAAAGCCCGTTTAACTACATTTATTAATTATCTCGATGCAGTGTGTGACAAGCAATTATCTAGTTGTGAGGTCAAAGAATTGCAATTACGGATGGGAAAAATTGAGACTTTGTATGAGCAATACGATGAGGTACAGGTACGGTTAGAATGTCTTGTAGAGGATATTAAGGCTCAATTCTCTGAGCGGACTGAGTTTGAGTCACAATATTACAAAGCACTGTCTAGGTCACAAGAGTTGTTATGCAAGTACAACAAAGATAATGAGTCGATAGGTAGTGATAAACATACTTGTACTAGCCAACGTAAACCTGTAAAGTTGCCTACCATTCAACTGCCAAAGTTTAATGGGTGTTATAGCAATTGGTTGGAGTTTCGTGACACTTTTACTAGCCTCATTCATAATAACGATGAAATTGATCAAATTAACAAATTTCACTATTTGCGAGCGTCTTTGGAAGGATCTGCTGCTGTTGTAATACATTCGATTGAGTTTTCCGCCAGCAATTACGATATAGCTTGGAACTTAATATGTGATCGTTTCGATAATAAAAGGTTGTTGGTAAATAATCATGTATCATCCTTATTCAATCTAAACGCTATATCAAAGGAGTCATCCGTTGCGTTAAAGGGTTTGATTGACCAACTTAATAAAAATTTACGTGCTTTGCAATCATTAGGTGAGCCCGTCGAGTATTGGGACACTTTATTAATATATATAGTGACTCGAAAACTAGATCATGTGAGTTATCGCGAGTGGGAGGAACATAAAGGCCGTATTGACAAGGATATCACAATAACATTTGATGCATTCATTAAATTTATTCGCACTCGCGCTGAATTAATAGAAACACTCGAGTTAACACGAAATAGCAATAGTCTATTGAAAAATAGTTCAAATTCAAATAAGATGAAATCTATGGTTGTATCACAAAATGTCTTTAATTCCGGCACTGATTTAAATATGTTATGTCCGCACTGTAAAGAAAGATCACGTTTTAAGCAGTTGTTCAAAATTCCTTGCACTTAGTATAGACGCCCGTTTGAAATTATTACCTAATTATAAAGTTTGCTTCAACTGTTTACGTTCGGGTCACTTTGCAAACCGTTGTAAAAAGCCGGGATGCAAATTATGTAAGCGCCGACATAATACATTGATCCATTCCTCAGAGAACAAAGGCACTGCAGTTTGTAGTAACAATAATACAAACGCATCACATGGTAGCTCGTCTGATGCCGTGTTAACGTCATCTCCCAGTGACACCGTGGCTTGCACTAATGCGAGCGCAAATAATTTAGCTTTGTGTGCGGGTCTTAGCTCATCTAATGGCGAGCGTAAACAACGCGGTGTGTTATTGTCTACCGCTCTTATTAAGTTATTTGATCGAAATGGTCATGAACACATAGTGCGAGCCATGCTTGATAGCGGTAGCACGTCGAGTTTTATAACAGAACGATTATGTAAACGGCTTAATTTAAATACTAGTCAGGTAAATGGTTCGGTATATGGCATAAACAACGTATGTTCTGTCGTAGGCAAAACGTGTCAGGTAAAAATGACGTCATTGAACAATAGTTATTCTAATAACATTCATTGTTTTGTTTTGCCATCATTAACGACTGTTATGCCCTGTCGTGAAGTCGACATTTCGGACCTCAATATCCCAAAAAATCTCTGTTTAGCTGACCCCACATATTATAAACCTTCGAAAGTAGATATTTTAATTGGTGCTGATCTCTTCTGGGACTTGGTTGGCTCGCAGACAATTAGATTAGGTATAGGTAAGCCGGTGTTGTGTGAAACGGTGTTAGGCTGGATCGTTTCTGGCCCTGTTACCTATAATGGTAAATTAACATCGAGTAATATATCTTGTAATTTTTCACATAATGATTCATTTAGCAACGGTGATTTTAATAAAATTCACGCCGATTTAGCTAAATTTTGGAATTTGGAAGAAATTAAACCACAATCCTCAAATTATCTTCCGGAAGAAAAGTTGTGTGAGGAGCATTTTATTGCGAATACGACACGTTTAGATGACGGTCATTTTTGTGTTCGCATTCCCTTAAAGCAAAGTCCTTGTATTTTAGGAGAATCGTTCCAAAGGGCTTCTAAATGTTTACATTCTCTTGAACGCAGACTGAAGTCCAAGCCTGATTTCGGTAAGTTATATCGGGACTTCATGTCTGAGTATGAGACTTTAGGTCATATGTCAGAACAAAAAGATAGTGACAGTTCCAGTGGTTATTTTATACCACACCACGGGGTACTGCGTGAATGTAGCACTACTACCAAGCTCCGAGTAGTTTTTAATGCAAGTTGTGCTACTTCTTCAGGAGTGTCCTTAAATGATTTGTAGATGGTAGGTCCTACGGTGCAGGACGATCTTATATCTATACTTCTACGGTTTCGACAGCACAAGTTCGTTTTGTCAGCTGATGTTGAGAAGATGTATAGGTGTATATACGTCCACCCATCTGATAGGCACCTGCAACAGATTTTGTGGCGTGATGATGAACGCGATCCAGTCAAGATTTATAAATTGAATACCGTCACATATGGTACAGCTAGCGCACCATTTCTTGCTACACGTTGCTTAAAGCAAATAGGGATAGATTATCAAAATAACAGTCAAACCTCTTTGCGTTCGGTAGGTAAGTCGTATTCAAGTAGCAGAGACAGGATTGCTGACGTCATCCAGCATGACTTTTACGTTGATGACCTGCTGACTGGAGGTGATGATTTAAATTAAGTTATGTTTATTCGCCAAGAGGTCACCAACGCACTAGCGTCTGCTTGCATGCCACTCAGAAAATGGAGGTCCAATGTACCTGAATTAGTCTCTGGAGCTTCTCAGTCATCGTTAGATTTAGATATGGAATCTAATCAACCCAACAAGTTGTTATGACTCGACTGGTTTGCTAGTTCTGACGAATTAGGTTTTACAAGTTCAATGTTACCTTCTAAAGATTTTGTAACTAAGCGTGATATTCTTTCCGCCATTGCACGCATTTTCGATCCCATGGGACTATTATCTCCTTGCGTAGTTACCATGAAAATGTTCTTACAACGGATGTGGTTAGATAAACTCTCATGGGATGAGCCATTAACCCCGGCCCTGAACACTAGCTGGAGTGCAATTGTGAAATATTTACCCCTTCTTAATAATTTTCGTGTTCCACGGCTTGTGTGTAATGCACATAATATACTAGAGCTACACGTATTCACAGATGCATCTGAGCGTGCGTATGGCGCGTGCGTCTATGTGCGTAGTTTCAATGAACAGAGTGAATACATGATCCGTCTGTTGATTGCTAAGAGTAGGGTGGCACCGATTAAGCCGACCACCATTCCACGACTGGAACTGTGTGGCGCCGTAGTAGGAGCTCGCTTGTGCGAGAAGGTCGTAAGCTCACTGCGAGTCAAATTTAGTCATATATATTGCTGGACTGACTCCACCGTCGTGTTGGGATGGCTGCAGATGTTGCCTTCTAAGCTTCAGCCGTTCGTACGCAATCGCGTCGCTGAAGTGTTGGATAAGACGGGCCACTGCACTTGGAGACATATCCCAACCGACAAGAACCCTGCAGACAGACCTTATATCTCGTGGCGTGGATATTAGCCCTCTGCAACCATTGGACTTATGGTGGAGTGGTCCCAGTTTTCTAAAACAAGCTCAGACTCATTGGCCTTCTCACCACAGAGTGTACGAGTCCGATAAGCTACCTGAAATTCGAGCACAGATTTCATTGAGCACTAGTCATAATATTAACCAATGTGATTTATTTATAGATTTTAATCGGTTTTCAAGTTATTTAAGGCTTATCCGTAGTATAGCTATTGTTTTAAGATTTATTAACAGGTGTAGAAAAGTTCCTTCCCATAGTAAATTTTTATCACAAGAAGAATTACAGAATGCATTAAATGTTATTATAACTAGGAGTCAACTTGAATCTTTTCCTGAATATACGTTACTTCTTAATAATCAGCAGTTGCCTAATAAGAGTGCCCTTATACGATTCAACGTGTTCTTAGACGAAAAGAAAATAATCCGTGTCGGAGGGCGCTTAGTAAATTCTACATTTTGTTTTGATAAAAAGCACCCTATTATTTTACAGTCCACTCACAAATTTACAAAGTTACTATTTGAGCATGAACACATAAAGCTGATGCATGCAGGCCCTCAGCTATTGTTAGCTTCGATAAGAGAATCGTATTGGCCAATAGGTGGCCGAAACTTAGCGAAGAGTTGTTATCGTAATTGCGTGCGTTGTTGTCGCATGTCGGGTAGATCAGTTACACCCTTGATGGGTAATTTGCCAAAGCAGCGCCTTCTTCCAGGTGGTTATCCATTTGAAAACACTGGTGTGGATTACGCTGGTCCTATTATGGCTGCTAGCAGGCAAGGACGCGGATGTAGGCTAATAAAAGTGTACATAGTAATCTTTGTGTGTTTCACGACCAAGGCTATTCACTTGGAGTTGGTTAGTGACTTAACTAGCAATAAGTATTTACTGGCTTTGTATAGATTTATTTCGCGACGGGGAAAACCCAGTGACATCTACTCCGATAACGGTACCTCTTTCGTTGGAGCTTGTAACGATCTTTCACGTTTTCTTAAATCTAATTGCAATTCTTTGAGCGAACAATTAGCTAATGACGGGATCAAATTTCACTTCATTCCCGCATATACTCCTCACTTTGGCGGACTCTGGGAAGCGGGTGTCAAGTCGACAAAATATCATCTTAAGCGTGTGTTGGGAAATTGTAACTTAACTTTTGAAGAGCTTAACACTACCTTGGTCCAGATTGAAGCGATATTGAATTCACGTCCACTGACGCCGCTGTCTTCCGATCCAGCAGATTACACCCCATTAACTCCGGGTCATTTTCTTGTGGGCCGGCCGCTTACGTCACATCCGCAACAAGAGCTACAGGACTTCTCTGCCTCTTCATTGTCTCGGTTCCAAAGGATCGAGCAGCTGCGCCAGCATTTTTGGGCTCGTTGGAGCAAGGAGTTTGTTTCTGAGCTGCAGCAGAGAACCAAGTGGCATACCTGCAAGGACGCTTTGAAGTTGGGCTCCTTAGTCGTTGTGAAGGAGGACCATCTGCCTCCCCTTAAATGGAGACTAGGGAGAATTGTCGCCGTCCATCCAGGATCAGATGGAATTGTTCGTGTGGCAGACATCAGAACATCCGCTGGAGTCATAAGAAGAGCCTTCAATAGGATTTGCCCACTACCCGTTGATTCTGCGTCTGGTTGAAAGCGCATCTGCTGCTTCCAACCTTCTGTTCACCTTTGTTCGTCATTGAGGCAATACACATTTTTGAGAAGTCCCGAATTTTAGTTTCCTTGAAAAATCCCTTGAAATTACCGAACAGTTACTCTACTTCCCTTTTCATCCCCATTATGGCGACTTGGCAAACCGTCCAGTCAACATTACACTGTGCATCGAAATGAGCAAAGGCCAACCCTCACAAAAGTCAGCATAAAGTAAGACACTATTCGCTATTGAATACCCTTAGGCGTTAATTACTGTTGGAACACACGCTCGTTCGAGTAAAAACATCGGAGTGCTGTGCTGTTTAGCCTTAATTGTGCTTTATAAGTGTAGTCTTTAGGCCTTTACTTTTAAGTGTAGTCTTTAGACCTTTACTTTTTAGTGTAGTCTTTAGGCCTTTACTTTTAAGTGTGCTGTTTAGCCCCATCGGCATCCCCGTTCAGGTCCAGCGCGGCGAGAAGCTGCACGGTGAGGCGGCCGTCCAGCTGGCCGCGAACCTGGCCGAGTTTCGGCGCGGCCGTGAGTGCCGGGTGACCGACAAACCGCACATGCAGAGCTCTAACGACTCGGTTCGCCAAAGGAGGACGCACATTACTGGCGCAGACCCGGTAGCCTCCGTCATCATGAAGTGCAAAACCTGCTCGACCCCGGAGCCGCCCCGCCGTTGTCACCACCAGCAGTAGTCCATTTAAGAGGACGATCCCCAGCCGTTTCCACCACCAGCAGTACACCATTTAAGAGGACGATACCCCGCCGTTTCCACCACCAGCAGTAGACCATTTAAGAGGACGATCCCCCGCCGTTTCCACCACCAGCAGTAGACCATTTAAGAGGACGATCTTTTCACCTCGGATATCTTTCGGATTTCGTTTGTTCATTTTCGAATATTTATTATTATATTATTTATTATTACAAATTTTACTGTAAACTATGCTCTCGTTTTGTAAATTTTTATTTCCACCTTATTTTATATACGTTTTCTATTCACTTCACCTCGGATATCTTTCAGATTTCGTTTGTTCACTCTCGAATATTTATTAGAAATACATTTACTGTAAACTATGTTCTCGTTTTGTAAACTTTTATTTCCACCTTATTTTATATACGTTTTCTATTCACTTCCCCTCGGATATCTTTCGGATTTCGTTTGTTCATTTTCGAAAATTTATTAGTAATATATACACTGTAAACTATACTCTCGTTGTGTAAAATTTTATTTCCGCCTTATTTTACATACGTTTTGAACTCACAGTGGTCTTTTGCTGAGAGCGGTGACAGACGCGAACCATACATACTTGTGGTTTCTCCATGCTCTTAGTCGAGCCAGAGAACACAGTGCCTATATGTATATCTTTCGGTGCGTCACTGGTCCCGGTATTTTGATAACAGTCGACGGCCACCAATGCCACTATGCGCGTGTATACCTCCCTGACATCATTTTGTTATAGTATGCGCAAGTTTATAACTGTGGTAGGGTCACGCAACAGTTCGCTGTTTAACGAATGGGCAGGTCCGGCCGGGGAAGTACCACGATCTCACAGAAGACCGGTGTCGACCGAAGTAGGAGTGTTATGATTTCATCTGGTGAGTGAGGTAGCAGGGGCCAACTTTATTAAAAGGTGGCCGTGGGCAGCGGTTGTCACTGAAAATCAGTTGAACCGCCAGCTCGCTTACCACTCTCTCATGTAAAAAAGTCCACACATGTGAGTTCATTCATAGAGATATAAGCGATTAATTAATCTTCCCAAGAGGTCTGCGAAATAGCTTTAGTACACTTTAGACATAGTCTACAAATTGAAGGCAAAAATATTAATCATTAAAATTGGCCAGTTTGTAACAAAAATAAGTTTGTGTATAGGGTTCTAGTGCTCTTCAGCGTAAAGTTAAATACTTGGTAATAAAAATGTTTTAAACGTATTTAGTCTATAAAATTCCAGTAGTAAACGCAATCTGCCAATAAATTAAACCGAGTTTGATTTAGAACAAACGATCCGATCGTTAAACTAATATATTACACGGAGACACATTAACTTTTTTACCGCCACCGTTGACGAAACAAAACGGTAATAAAGTTGCTATCGCGTTAATATCCCGAACGTATCCGAGGAGAGGGAACAACCGCAGCGCGGCCCCTACCCCCCTTTTGTATCTCGTTAATTCCGAGGGTTAAAATCCCCGAAAAAGTGAGCACTTGCCTTGTTTACAAGGTTTTAGATTTTAATTTAGATTGGGGTCGGGCACGTCGGCGCGAAAAATGACGTAAACGTCAAGCGAAATGGCGCGAGAATTGGGCGCTTCTGCGGTGGCCGTTAGGGCGATGAGCGCTTTACGAGGGTTGGTTGCCGTATCCATTAAGATCGCATTCGTATGTGATCACCTAATACAATACATATCATCAAGTCCGCGCCGGGGGCGCTTTGTGAATAATTTCTCGGCAATCTGCTCGCTTTTGCGACGGATTTGTATAATTTTAATTTTTTTAATTATTGTGTGAACAACGTACTTATTCACATTAAAATAATTAAATTAAATTCACACTGAAATTCAGTGCAACGGTCATTAGGCCTTGAAATATGTTGATTAAATACTAAAAGTAAGCTTGATTTGATATTCTCATAATATTATCGTCATCTAGTATTATAACTAATCCGTCTAGTGCGCTTTTAGAACTGATTAAACTGTTCTGATGATCTTTTTATTTGCTCCGTATACGAGTACATTGAAAGCAAAATAAAAGTAATAGTAGAACATAAAATCAATAATTTAAAACGCATAACTGTTAAAATAATATTTGTAAGATTTAAGAAGTTACAAATATTTTTCTTAATTTTAATAAGAAATAAGCAATTTTTTTCGAAATCGAAATTTGTTTAGTATAAAGTAATTCCTAACGTGTTTTAACGTTAGGAATTACGTTCAATCTCTCAATTAGGAAATACACACATATCTCTAATTTTAATTTGTATCTGGAAGCACACAACAATCACATCTGGTCTCTTCAAACAAATTAAATAGAGTTTTGTCAGTTTGTTTGCTTTTCTTTGCGCTTGTTTGTTTCGCCGGGGGCATCGAGTACTCGTTCAATTGCTACGGCAAACACGCTTGTGTGTCAATAGGGCAAGGGATGTCCATGCTAATAGATTGGCTGTGGTTATTCATGGGTTGTTTCGATTTGTTTACGTGTTCAGTCGAACGTAAAAAGCTTGTTCACCGATTATTTTAAGAGAAACAGCAAATATTCATATCATAGATCGTAACTTAAGCAAATAGGACAATTTATCCTTACTAATATTATAAATGCGAAAGTTTGTATGTATCGATGGATGTTTGTTACTCTTTCACGCAAATACTATCTACTGAATGGATTCTAAAGACACTTTACTATAAGCTATATTATCTATATATACATCAGAATAAGACATAGGCTATAATTTATATACATATTTTATGTATATCTGCCTTTCTGTCTGAGTGTTACGCCTATTCTACGCAGACGTAGTCGCGGGCAGCAGCTAATATTAAATAAGTATCAGTATTCAATTGTTTTTTACCAATTTATACTAAAGAACCCATAGCAGATCAAGGGCTGTTTGAAATAAGGTTACTACGGGCCCCGCTACGCTTGCACATTCCGGTGCTGCGGGCCACGCAACATTCTTCGCTGTCGCACGAATGGGCAGGTCTATCCGAGGAAATACCACGACCTCTCAGAAGACCGGCTTGAAGTGGAACTGTTACAATTCTGCGTTTCGTCCAGTGAGTGAGGTAAGCCGGTGCCCAGTTTATTAAAAGGTGGCACCTATGTGTGCTGCAAATGTCCATGGGCGGTCTTTATCACTTAATATCAGGTGAAACGCCAACTCGCTTGCCATCTTATTTATTTATTTAAGCAGTTACAAACGTAAGTTACAAAACACGTGTTAAAAAAAGAAAATAGTAATGAAGATTAATACAAAATTTTGTAACTAACCTCAAACTACAAAACATTAACAATGGATCCCAAACTAAGCAGTGCTTGTATATCTTGGGAGCCAGAGCTGCCATATTAGCGATAGGTGTTTAGTTACATCGTGAATACTCATTGCTATTAACAAAAATAAAGTGACAAAAAACTAAAAAATAAAACGAGAACTACAAAGTAAATTAGTAATTGTGGCTTAAAATGAAATATTACATAAACAAGTCCATTTTTTATTAACGAAAAACAGATCCAACTTCGAATATCTTGCTCTGTAGAAGTTCCCTTCTCAGAAGTTCCCGAAGTATCTCTGGAACCCAAGATCCAATGGGAAGCACCAGCTTTCAAATAAAAAATAGAACCACCCAAATTGGGTCACTCGTTCGAAAGTTCTGAAGAAACAAAGATAAAAAAATCGAATTCAGAGCCTCCTCCATTTTTGAAGTCGGTTGAAAAGATAGTCAGTTATTTTTGGCAAAACAACAAAACGTTGCAGAAAAAATATAACCAAAACTTTTCAAAACAAATATCGAAAGTGCCAAAAATACTCCCCTGCTGTACACCACTGTCGATGTCAGCTCAAAGATGTCATTTAGCTAAGCCTGAAGAAGACAGCTCTGATCTTGATAATTCGATTTACATTCGTCAAAATTATGGCAAAGGGTGAAAATGAACGGGTCATAAAAATTCAGGTGACTCCTGCTAACGACTTTGAACGAACTCAGACCTCTTAAGTAATTAAGCTTCGTTAAAGAGCGTTAATTATCGTTTTATACTAAACCAGCAATTGAAAATATATATGGATAAATATGAAAAAAAATCCTAAAAAACCTATTAGTAAAAAATCACAAAATATTTGAAAAACTAGAAACTAATCAATAAATTAACAAAATACATAAATTAGCAGGTATTAGTAAAGTTTTTTATTCTGCGTTTTTATCGCATTAATTTCACAATTTGGGAAAGAATGTGAACTGTATTAAAGACTTTTAACTGTACTATTACAATTATTATATTTAATTTTTTTCAAAAGTAATAAAGTGAAGAATGGAGAAGGAATTACGTAGCAAAGTAACGCACTTAAAGAAAACAAAGGTCAGTTTCATGTCATAAATTATCTGTGCGGGGAAATAAGACGAAAACAAGAAAAGTTTTAAATAAAATAAAAAACTCGTCAGAAAGCAACGCTGTATTATCTTTATAAATGGCTGCTTTTAAAACTGAATTCGAAAGCATTGTTATTTTAGGTACATTATAATATATTAGACATACGGAATGCATATACATACAAATTGTATCAAAAAAGCAACAAAAGAAAAACATAAAATACCACAAATCATGGTATAAATTAATCGAAAAATATTTTAGTTGTCTTAGATATTATACATAAGAGACAAAATAAAAGAAATGTATTAAATGTTTAATTATAATGGATATATAATAAATTTTATAGCAATGTATGCAAATTTTATAGTGTCACTGTGATCACATTTTTGACTAAACCGCATTCGCAATGCTGAGGTAATTAGTAAGGTATTACACCAGTTGAGAAAACGAACATATTTGTCACTGGCCGGAGACACGACGCTGCGGTCGTGTTCACAGCACGATATTTTCCACAACAGCGCTACTGCATTTTGGAGTAAAATTCGAAAAGAGGTTATTAATAACAAGTCTTCAAAAATACAAGGAATCGACAATGTATAAAACGTTGATGAATATTGTTTAAAATGTTGTAAAGGTATTTATATTTTTGAATTTATAAAAATTATTGTAATTTAAATTAAGATTTTTCTTCAAATATCTTTCCTTTAAGCTAAACTTTTAGAACAGGTACTGTGACCAAATGACAAACCTAATATTAATTAAAAACATATAGGTTCTGGTTCTGTTCCAGCCAATGTTAATGCATTCTTGCTCTTGGGAGATTTTCGTTCTTCGTCTTTTTAAAGCGAGCGTGTAACAGATAAAGTCAAAAGTGCTTTAACTGTTTTTCTTGAACGGACTTATTCCTCTTAATATAGTCATAATATAATTGTTTTAGAGAACATTATACATATAAAAACTATTCACAAAAATATTTAAAAATAGAAACTGCTAATTTTATACAATGAGAAGTAATCGTCAAGATTATCTTCGTTGAAAGTTTTAATTTTAATTAAACTTAAAACATATATACCATGCGATGAACACAACAATTGTGGTTTGTTGTTGTTTTTCTCATTTTACGAAAGTTTTACACACTAAAGTCCAAACGCTTCTCAGTAGCACGAAATACAAAGTAAATAAAATAAAAATGTAAATAACGCCCACCCACTTCAGTCATGCTTACGCCATGTTGCACGGACCCGTCGAGTGTCGAAGCAAGTCAAACTTTTGGCAAAAAATTAATGACCACTAAATAATAGTCTTAAAAAATAAAATAAAGAAATTTGTGTTGTGTCTTCTTTAATTTGAAAAACCACCATTCGCAACCAGTGAACCAAAGGAGAAATGGAATTTAAATTCGTAAAATGAAATATCATTCATACAAATTACGTTATATGAAAGTATACTATAATAATGTCATAATTACCACCCCCTCCCTCCCGAGTAGTTATTATCTCCAGTCTCTCGATAGTTTAATCTTAAAGAATTACCTAATTTTTAAGAATTAATTTTTATGAATATCGAATTCCAAGAAAGATTTTAGGACTACGGCCTTTAACTTTAATTGTATGATCAACATTACAATTGTTCACTTGTATTAGGTCAGTCGAGAAACCTGTTTAATATATGTGCTACAAATGTGTACGGTACTCAATTCAAAGGTTGATGAGGAAATTCGTTTTGTAATCAAAGGAGAGTTCGACCATCAACTAATTGCACCAGACATCAGAAAGAAGACTGCAATTTTTTTCAACAAATAGTTTTTAGAACAAAAAATAGTGTTCTAGTCGAGAAAACAACTCAACGAATTGCAAAATACGTTGATTCTTACTTAAATACGTTCTTAAATACTTTGTTGACTCTGCTAATTAACAACTTGTTGATTACGTTTATTTTGATTACTGTTTTAAACGTAATAACGGACTATCGCAAGTTTACAAAAATCAATCCGTAGTCAATCTACATTAAATACAACGACAATTTCAAAGAACAATTCAAAATGGAGCGACAAAGAATGTATAAACAAAAAAAGTCGTTAATTTTAAAAACTGGAACAGATAGGAAACTTTGAGAGCCGCACAATTCTACCCTACTCGTAATAAGCGCATTAAGGGTGGAAAAATTTAAAACCCGCCGCGTCCCGAAACTTTCCGCGTTTTCTTTTTACATTAAGGACAAAGAGGAAAAAAAGATCGCCTACTTAGAAGGGTGGCGCAACTTTTAATATCCCCTGGCTGGAACTAGCGGCAATGAAAAAGGAAAAGATTGGTTCTTCTTAAAAAGCGCCGAAGGTATATTTTCGTCCAATATAAGCTTTTAGCGAAATGAAAAACAAAAGTTGGCACAATCTAATATAAGCACAGCGTGTATATGTATATGTGGAGCGCTTAGCGAATTTAAAAACTTACGGGTCTAAATCGCGGGGGAGTGTTTTGCGCTTCGGTGTTCATGTTGTTATGAAAATGCTGAGAGAGGTTAAGTATAATATATTTACGAATTGTAAAACTTACTTAATTGGTATGAAAGCTAAATTAAGAATGAACAAATTTTTAAAAAAAAAAAAGCTCACGGAAAGATTAGATATTTAAAAAAAGTTTTGTTTAGGTATTCAAAGACTTAGAAATTAATTTTTATTTTAAAACTGTATCGACATTCCTATCGATCCAAAAGCAATGTTACCGACATAGTTGAGAAGATTAGTGAGCTAGAGTGGCGTTGGGCTGGAAATATACCCGTAAAACCGATAACCGACCGGGAAGTTTCTCGAGTGACAGCCTCGTATTGACCATCGCAGCGTAGGACACCCTACTAGATGGGGTGAGGACCTAAACAAATATGCGGGAAGTCGATGGACGCAGGTGGCTCAGGATTGTTCTTCGTAGCAATCTGTCTGGTCTAGGTTCAGCAGTTGACTAAAATAGGCTGAAATGATGATGATGATGATACTGTCAGAAAACTCACACAGTGTAATGTGTGAATTACACTAATGATTTGGTATTTCAGCTTAAAGATATCAATCTCAAGAATATTTATGTCAACAAGTGATATTAGAAGTTTTCAGATTCAAAATGCTGAATGGGATAGGGCGATAGTAAAGTAGAAATATTGAAAAAACTTGGTTTGAATAAGTGGCATTAACAAGCAGTTATACGTGGTACATACATGCTTGAAATTTCCCTTTGAATCCTTTTCCAGTTATTGCATCGGCGTCAAAAACGCCCTTTGCTTTTTTATTATGGTTGTAATTATATCCCAAATATTTCAAATCTCGCCTCATGTACAAAATATTATATTGTAAACATGAAACACAGGTCTATAGACCGCGCGCAACTTTTTGGCCGCGCCTTAGGTAAAGGCAAAGGCGAGTCGGAAGTATTTAAACCATCCAATACATATGGGATCATTTTAACTTCAAATAAATCTCAAGATATCCCTCATAGTTAACTGAATAATTTCTGTACTTAAGATAGAAAATTTGTAGAAAAATTAACGACGCTTCTTGCCGTTGCGACGATTTGAACCTGTGTCAGTCGGTCAACTTATTTATCTACTTTGCTACTTTTATGTTCCTAACAATGAACGTAGTTTCTATCGTGTTGTTAAACGTAGTGATTACATTCTCTTTGGTGTTATTATGTTTGTTAAATTTTAGTCACTATCTATGTTTTATAGATTATGTGGAATACAATGTCATTAACGATGAAATAAAAATTCTATTCTATTCCATTATTCTATTGCGCTTTAAGCAATTACAGGCGCCATCTAGCCGCAGATTTTAGTGAAAAGAATTTTAAATTGAAAATCTAAAATTCTAATGGCTTCTCATACTGATATTGAGCAAACTATTTTCGAATTCAATAAATACTGAAAATAATCTTAGTCTTTATTTTATTTTGCGTCATCGCAGGATCGTTTGGATCACGCGTGCATCGTAAAAGGAATAATAGGTGTTATCGTCACGGAGGTTTTTTTACGTCTTCTTTATACTGTGAAAAGTTGTCAAGCGAGCAGGCGGTTTACCTGATGTTAAGTGATTACCGCCGCCCATGGACATCTGCTACACCCGAGGGTTGCAGATGCGTTGACAACCTTTTGAAAATTGGGCTCCGGCTACCTCACTCACCAGACGAAACGCGAAAGTATTATACTTCCATTTTACGCCGGTCTTCTGTGAGGTCGTGGTGCTTACCGGGATGGACCCGCCAATTCGTGCAACAGAAAACTGTTGCATGGCCCTACCAGTTTTCACGCCCTACCACAGCTTACTGGCACTTACTGACACCTGCCCGCGTACTCCCGTCCCCTGTTCCACACAGCCTGTAGCCGACGACTTAATATAATTGTTCACAACACATTGAACAGGAGAGTATATTTATATGCTCTTTAGAGTTCCAATGCAAACGATAACGAGTCCATTTTTACTAACGAAAAACAAAACCCACTGCAAATATCTCGCTCTGTATTCATTTTATAATTGATTATTTATCAGGAGTTCCCCAAGTATCTCCGGAGCCCAAGATCCAATACCAATGAAATTAATATGGCAGTAATAACCACATGGGAAGCACCCGCTTCCAAATAAAGAATCATCTCAAATCAAGAATCAAAATCGGCTCGCCCAGTCGCAAGTTATGAGGTAACAAACATAATAAAAATACATTCGAATAGAGAACCTCCTCATCTTTTGAAGTCGGTTGAACAAGCCACAGCGAATTAGTCGGGTTCAGCTAGTACTTTTAATATTTGAATGTATAACAAATAATAACATGCTTGACATTAGTCAAGATGGAACTATATTTGTTGTTTGTGGCTTCGTGAGATTTTTAAGATTTATTTACTTGTCTTCTTTTGCAATCTTCCAAATTTTGCAATCAACGATTCTTTTCTTTTTTTTTTTAAAACATTACCCTTATCCTGTGTTGTAAGGACATTTTACAAATAAACACGCGGACAAACACCCAGTTGCGAAACAACTATCTATGGGTTATACAAATTTTTGTCCCGTGTGGGAATCCAACCCACGACCCCCGACGCCGAAGCCAATACCTCGGCAACTACGCCACGGAGTCATCGAATTCATGCGCGAAGAATTCACTTGGGCGGTTCTGCGCGATGTATGCTGGCAAAAATTCATGTATGGGGCTGTCCATTAATCACGCGAGGCTCAAAACGGAGGGAGGGGGAGGGGATTACCAAAAATCACGAAATATCACAACGGGGAGGGGCGTGTAGTAAGATGTCACGTGTATTTATTTTTTCGTCAATGGCGCAATTCATGGTCACGTGATTAAGGGAAAGCCCCTACGTAAATGTTATTCGTAGACAAATTAAAACTACATCACACCATAATAACATTCGTCTATTCCATTATTTTAATACTTTAACATAATTACAGAGTAAATTATATTTAAGCGTAAAGTGCATACGACGATAAATCCACGTAACAAATCGAAATACCCGCGTAGTATTTGCATAAAGATCTTTTTAAATATTAAAATGCATGTTCTTTGTTGTGAGTTCAAGGAAATAATTTTCTAAAAGCTATTTACACCGCAAACATTAGTAACGTGAATCTTAAAAATTAATGTTTTTATTTAATTACAAATCACATCTTGATTTACTGCTCCTTACTATCTTCTTCGTCTATACAGAAATCTGCGTCGAGTACGACCTGAAAAGAAAATATCATTTATTGAACAAGAAAAATATATTTGATAATATTATTGTGCTCTATCGTTCGAACCACAATCCAAAATATTTCTTGGGTGCTGGGAGAAAAATGTTCATAACACATTGGGTGTTGTGAACATATTTGTCCCCCAGTTTATTAGAATAAAATTTGTTGGCTAAAGATTTTTACAACTCGATACATGCGCAAAAATAGAGGAGTCAAATTCACTGAGGCTTGTTTAAGTTTCTCGTTGCCTATTCATGAGTTGCTTATACAAAATTTTATATGCTCCAGTGATCTGTTGATGCAATAAAGTTCTTTCGGAATTTTGATCGAATATCTTTAAGGAGTTTATTTCATTTAGGTGTGTAAAACGAAAATCTGAAAACTAGGGCCTGTTTTGATTCTCTTAGGAGACGAAACGAGATACTTGCCTGCATGTCGGCGACAGCGCGGTTTGTCTCCTTTTCGCTGTCATCCTCTTGATCCTGCTCTTCCACCACCATCTGTGTCTCATGTTCGCCGTCTGCAATTAACGATGACGTATTAAAAATAATATATGGCACAAAATTCACAAATAAGTTTTGATGGCAAAAAAGAAATAAAATCCTAGAAAAAAGGTTATGGGCAATATTTTCAAGGCGAGGTGTTAAAACGGTCATTTTTAAGTCTATAAAACAATAATTCTGACTAGTTCATTACATATAATACGGCTGACATATTTCCTGGAATCATCATCGTAATAAAAAAACGTAGAATGATTGAAGTTCCTTACCTTCGGATTGAGACTGTATAAGTTGCAAGGTGCCGTCAACTATCTGCCCGGATATCACCCCAGATAGGTTGTTCACATTTAACTGTTGTCTGATCTTCTTGGCCTCGAGCTCCAGTTGCTGCTGTATGTATAGATCTTTATGGTGCACTTTGTTGTGGTACTTGAGGTGGTGCGCTTTGGTGAACTTCTTGTTGCATGGTCCGCAGCTGTTATTATAGTATTGCAATTAGCTTCAAATATCAAACACAAATATCCTCATTGAATAACTCATTTAACATATATATAGATTTGTAACTAGTGAGGAAATAACCTAATCCTTGTTTGTAAATATTTAATATTTATTAGTTGTGCCCAACAAGCGAAATGAACAGCCATATATTAACAGTGTATAATGGTCATGATTGAAATTACCGTAAGCTTTTCTTGCAATATCAACCACAAAATAAGTTTTAACCATGCTTGCAAGTGCTTGCAAAGGTTCAACCATTATAAAGTTTACTATCATAAAAATAAGACAGTAACACTATCAGCAGCGTTGCATTTCTTAATTGTTTAATAGAAACATATTTTTAAAGGAATCACCGTCATTCTCCAACAATATTTGAATGAAATAATAAAAATGCAAAATTTAAATTTTAGTTTAGCATTAAAATAAATTAAAAGTATCAGTTAGTATGTCTTAGTCAATTTTTTTTAAATGTTTTGTTATTCATGTTAATGCTCAATCCGTAATCAGTACTCAGAATACTCACGAATATTTCTTCTCTCCAGTATGAGTTAGCATGTGATTGGCCAGCACATAGGAGTAGGTGAAGGCTTTGCCACAGAGCGAGCATTGGTAGGGCCGAAGTCCCATGTGTAATCTGTGTGCAAATAACAGTTATAAATTTTGTTTTTTTTTTAAGCTAAAGTACTTCATTTCCAACTTTTAAAAAATAAATATTACCCTTACTGTAGGATAATATTATCATGTGTTGTAAGAAGATTTTACATACAAAAATTTCACATAAACAAAAATCCAGATCCGAAAGAATTATCATTCACACCTCACACAAATCATTGTCCCATGTGTGAATCAAACCCACAAACCCAGCTCTGAAGCCAATTCCTTGGCGACTGCGCCACAGAGATCTACAACCGGGTCTTTAAGCCCGAAGATTTGTGTGCGCAGGTTTGATAATAATATAAATATAGTGGTCAAAAGTTAATACAAATAATAGAATGATACATGATTGCCTGTGTCCGAGTTCCATGTGTGAATGAAACCAGGGTGAGTAAATAATTTGAGAATTTTAATGAGCTATTGCATTTACTTTCTCCCATCACCACTTCACGCCAGGTGGAAATGAACTGGGAAGCTACTATGCTTGATATTGATATCTCTAAAGTTATTGGAAATAAATAAGCATGTTACAAAAGTAGTATTGAAAAATATCATTGGCCAGCTAGATAGTTAGTAGATGGGTAAGGTAAATAAATGCAGGCCCACCATTTACAATCTCTAGTGTGCTATATGTCTGTGATGGATATAAGAATATGTCTATTTAAGATTATATAAACTACAAAATAAGCATCATTTATGGACATATTTTAGAATGAAACCATTATCAATACAGATATTTCGTTTATTAACATACATACCATTAAATAGTAGTGTTTTATTCCATCGGACGTCAAAACGATAAGATATACCACCGTCGGCGCAACCATAGTTTCACTATTAACACCCAAGCAGTGAATTCATCGCTGAGCAAAATAAAAAATTTTGAAGATATGCGAAGTCCGCCGACCCGCAGTGTGGTCGCGTGGTGGCCTAAGCTCTAATTCAAGTGAATATACACCCAGAACCGAAACAATCACAGTGGGTCACACAAATGGTTGTCTCGTGTGGGAATAGAACCAACGACCTACGACGTCGAAGCCAATACCTTGGCTAGTGCGCCACGGAGTCTACACGTTTACCTTGACATTTGCATATATTCGTACACGACGCCCCTACACCGTGCACTCGATTTACCTCTCGTGCTTCTGCCTGGTGCCGTAGTCGCCGAAACGGCGCTCGCATATGCGACACTGGTAGGGGCGCTCGCCGGTATGTCGCAGCATGTGCCGTTTCAACGCCTCGTTCGTTACGCACGAGTAGCAGCAAACACTATGACGATTACAGCGCAAAGCGTGTCAGGCAACAGACCACCCACCGTATGACGCATGATGACATGCGTCCCAGGTCCCGTGAAGGTCCAACCTCTTTAAACTAGTCACCTCAAACTACGCCGACCTCAGCGCCCCGTAGCGAAAACGCTGCCTTTAGCTGTTTGTGGACAAGGAACGTCAGGACTGTGCAGAGCTCTTGCCCAGACTACTACTTACTTCCTGGGCGTATTTATTACGATCATGGAGTGGTAATCGTTGGGGGAGGGGAGGGTGGGGAGGGCGACGCGACCCAACGTCTCATATTGTTTAAGGCCTGGTGCAACAGATAGTTAATTCTCGGACCACCACAAGTTAAATTATTATTTTTGAAAAAAAAAACGAATAAAACCAGTTCTTTGCTGAAATCGAGCAAAATGGATGTGCGTTTGAGCTGGGAGAGGGAGGGACACAGACCAAGTGCTCTGCAGTATTCGGCCAAGTTCCGCTAGAGTCCGTCGTCTATATGTGGGTAGATCGCACTCGCCTCTCGTGCTTCTGCCGGCTGCCGAAGTCCCCGAAGCGGCGCTCGCACACGCGGCACTTGTACGGCCGCACCCCCGTGTGCCGCATCATGTGCCGCCGCAGCTCCATGTTCAGAACGCACGCGTACCCGCAAACGCTGCGAACGCACAATCCACCACATTAAACCACACGACACGGCTGGCAGGTGACAAACTCTAAGTTGCCAGTTGGAGCGGGGAAAAAAAACACGTTACTTACAAAGGGAAATTTGTTCACGCTTTTCGGCGCGCATTTGCGGGTGCGGGTGCGTTCCGACTGCGTGCCCGGTGCTGGGGCGGTGGCTTTGAGGGTCGTAGGTGTTGAGAGCGACGAAATGTTTTTATTTTGAAAAGAGAACACCGATATTGTTTTCTTTTTTAATAACGTAGCAAACCCACCAGCACCCACTTAAAATAATTTGAGGTGACTAATTTTTAAAGGCAATAACACTATAACAATTTATGGAAGGAAAGATAAATATATTATTAAAGTATAATGTTATTGTAATGTTATTATGTAATAATATAGTCCATCAAATGTAAGAAATACATTTTGACGTTTCTCATTTTTCCTTTCCACAGGAGGTGAGAGCAGCTTGTATAGGAATTTATTCCTTATGAGTTTAATGTAGGGAGTTAAAAATTCACATATATATTAATAATATATGCTTCCATTATTACATAGCGTAACCTGAATTAGTGAAAGTAATACTTAAAATGATTGGAGAAGTTTATTCTACAACTGCCAAAATGTATTTACTTAAATTTTATTTATAAGGAAAATATTAAAATTATATTTAATTAATTAATTAAACAATGTCAACATTAAACAATGAATGTAATCATTTCATTGCAGGCACTAAATTATTGGAAACTGAAGCACAAATGAACATATTAAAATATTAATAATTTAACTAATTAAACATTTCTGGATATGACTTCACAATGTTGTATAGTCCTAAATTAAGTTATAGTTGCACTATGGATACTAGGTAACTAATAAAGTTACTTAAAACACTGTTCTTTTGTAAATAAATACATATTATAGGTATATAAATACCCAGACACTAGAAAAACAATACATTCATCATAAAGTTTTCCAGTAAGTGAGATCAAACCCTCTTCACCTATCAATTAATCAATGAATTATTAAAAAAATATATTTTCGATAGTCTCAAAGAAATATTGATGCAAATAAAATTTCACCTTGCAACAATTATTTGGTTTAACGTAATATTATGTGAATTCAATATCGCCATATTTTGTTAATGACATTCTTTTCTATCATTTACTCTCGTTCCAGGCAAATCAGCTAATGAAGAAACAATTCACACTTGACATAATTAAAAAAAAGCAATTTATTGTTAATTTTATTAAATAAACAATAAATTACTTTCAATTCAATTCAAATACAAAATGAAAGTTTAACTTACATGTTAATTTCTTTATCTTAAATAATAGCTAAATAAAATAATGTACCTGCATACAAATGGTTTGATGCCTAAATGCCGCCTAATGTGTGCTTGAAGCGAGGCATTTGATGTGAACGAGGCACCGCAGGTTTCACATGTGTGTCTGTAAAAATAACATAAGATATCAGGGAAAGGTTTCAAAGGAGAAACCTTAATGTTATGGTTACATTCTGTTTATTTCTTCATCGATAATTTTCAGTTAACAGACAGTTTCAAAACGATTGGAAACTCTTCAACACCAAATAATACAATTTTTTCCTAATTTACATAACTTTATAAATGCCTTATAAAAGTTTTTCCCATCCCTATGTCTATATTCATATACACCGCCCCATGAACGAGTTAGTAACTAACTATGAAGTCTAGTAACTAGCATTACTTGTGTTTGTTCCTAGTATTTACATTGTACATCAGTATTTTTACTAAGTAAAGTAACAGCCTATACATGTCCCACTGCTGGGCAAAGGCCTCCTCTATACAGAGGGTAAAATTACTAAAACTAATTCCTATTTTTACTAAAATTATTAATATTTCTATGTAAATACATATACAGCGTGTCTTTACCATCGTGACAATAAATGAACACACATATAGGGATAACTTTTTATAATTGTATTAAACATTTACATTCATTAAACATAAACATTTACAGAGTTATTAAATTTTCCAAAACAAAGAATTTTAACGACACGCTGTATATTGAGAGGCCAAAGTTATAAGTTTTATTTATTTCTTTAAACTTCTGTCTCAGAGATATATTAAGTCTAGATTATAAATAACTCTTATCATTTTTTGCAAAATAAAAATTGTTTCTATATCGACTGCATGCCCCTATAGCAAAATACTATATGACATTATACAATGGAAATAACTAAAATAAACAATTCTAGCTGTTTTTATGTCAGTTAAACATCTTATTTTCCTAATAGCATATGCTGCAGAACTTAGTCTATTAGCAAGTTTAGATATATAGGAGCCCCATTGGAGTTTTGCATCAAGAGTTATTCCAATAAAAACAGTTGTATCCACAAGGCCTAACTCCTCCTCATTTATAAGAACATTGGTAGCTCCCAAATGTTTAACATTAGGTGTTGAATATTTTATACATTTGGTTTTATTGTCATTTAAAAGTAAATTGTTAACATTAAACCAATGGACTATTTCTGACATAGCATTATTTTCCTCGTCAAGTGTATGTCAACAATGTGTACAAGATGTCAAATGTTTTATGTTTCAAAATTAATTTTAAAAATACGCCTTACGTCTTTTCATAGGTATATTTCTTCTTTTGCTGATTTGGTCGCTTCTTCTTGGGTTTTGGGTTGAGTATGTGTTCAGGTATTGGCTCAGAGAATGCCAGGATTGTCTCCTTCAACAGTACATCCTCACTGTCCACAGACTTTTGTTTGATGGGTTCTATGCGAACTTTAGGCGGTCGCCCACGTTTTCTTGGTGGTGTCTGGGTGAATTAAGATGAATGTAAAGTTAAAAAAGCAAATAAGAAAAGTTTATAAAACTGGAATTCAGGGAGGATTTTGAGGTGAGTTATTAAAAAATTATATAATCAAGGTATCAATAATGGCAGGTCAGTGATACTCGAGCAACCTGGATTCTAATCCTAGTAACAGTTCCAATGTTGGGCTAATTTAAAATGTTATTTTACTACATAATTTTGTTTGTAAGCTTCTAAAACTTATCACAAAAGCTGTGTCAGTTTGGCAGTCCACATTTGACTTGAGGCAATGACATAAACATGACCAGAAATACTCTGCATGTCACACATTGGGACACAATTGTATAGACAAAGATTTATAAACATCAATAAATTCAAGGGTACATAAAGATATATAAACCATATAAAAAGTAAAGTAACAGCCTACACACGTCCCACTGCTGGGCAAAGGCCTCCTCCATACAGAGGGTATCAGGGCATAGTCCACCACGGGGCCGCCCAGTGCGGATTGGTGAACTTCACATATCTTCGAAATATTTTTATTGTTATTTCGAAAATATTCAGGTTTCCTCACAATGTTTTCCTTCACCGTGGAGCACCTGATAAGTCAGCACTTAATCTTAAAAACTTCATTGGTGCCCGCACCGGGGATCGTACTCAGGTTGCTCGAGTATATTGATTTAAAGGTAAGCGCCCGGACACTGAGCTATCACGGTTAATATTATGTATAACCTTATTACATACAATAGTTATGGTATAAACCATATATACCATATAACTATCAAAGTTATAAGTAATAATAATAACCTCCTTTTTTATCTCAGTTTCTGATTCAGGCTCTTCAGTTGCAGGGTTGAAGTCAGGGTCATCAGCAGCATCAAAACCTTTGAATAAAATAAACATAAATGTTATCAAACAGTAGATATTATTTAAATAATATAAATAATCAACATTAAACTAATCCATAAAACCATATATATAGAAGAAGCATATATAATTAATGAAAATAAAATATACCATACAAATACAAGCTTACACATTTTTATCCCTCATAGTAAGCATATGATTTCAATTATTTTACTTTCACACTATGTGTATGTATATCTTGGTAATTAATTATGAACCCTCAAAGTTTTTTGAAATACATACCATCTGCTTCAAAAGGCTCCTCATCATCTAATGGCTCTTCCTTCAGATCCAATGAGCCAGATGCTAGCAGGGTAGTGAGAGATTCTGGTTCCTTTTCGGACTCTTTGGGCTTTTTACGTTGGTATGGAGAGACATCTAAAATATAAAAATACTTTTGTAAATACCTATATGAACGCAAAATTTGATGACAATAAATTCTATATATCTATATATCTATATAGTATTTTACCAATCTGTCCTTGCTCATTTGGATATTTCCTTGGCCTTCCTCTCTTTCTTGGACCTGGTGCTTTAGTAACAACAGCAGTGCTGGGTGTCTTTGTAAGAGTTCGGGTCCATTGTGCCTGTGGGTCATGTTCCACCGGGAGTTCATATTGCAAAAGCAACCCATTCTCTTGCTTAATTGTTATTGTTTCAGTTTCATTGACTGTGAAGTTCAGTGAAAAAAAGGATAAAATATCGTGGAGGTAAAATAATCAGTGAATGGAAGGAAAGTAATAAGGTAAACTATAAAACTATGAAATTTTCTACAGAATTTCTAAAGAAAATGTTGCAGTACCAACATTGTGATAATTTACAATAAAATAGGAGTTTTGTGTATCTTACTCTCTTTTTTGGGAACCGTAACCGCAGCCTGACTTTTGGTAAACTCTTCGAGACACTCTTTCAACGTCTCAGTGGACGAAATACATTGTAGTTTGAATTGATAAGCAAATGTAAGGCGATCCACGCAATTTAGACAAATAAGCGTCGGCAATGCGTCATTTTTAGTAACCTAAAAAAGACAAAAACAATTTGCCAATACCTTAGAAATAATAAATTTTAATCCTGGGATGTCAGCAAAAAATCATCAAACATTACAAATAAAACAATATAGCAACATTATTGTACGAAAAAATTATAGGGTGGCCATCGCAACCATTTTGTGTGGCAATTTTTCCATACCTCTATGCCGCAGCAAAAGGAATACTTATCGCCTAGTTGCTTGTTATTTTCGTCCCAATCAAAAAGTGAGACCATATCGCCTGTCTCTAAACATACTCGACATGTTAATTGCCAATCCATATTTCTAAAAACACCAATGCAAAAAGAAAAATTGATCTAAAATACGACAAAATCAACAATTATTGGACCGGAAATAGTTAAGTACCAATATAACAGAGTAGTTAAAAAAGGCGTCGGTAACGTTCCGTTCTAAGCAAGTTTTGTTAGGTGCTTTATATCAATCAACACTGATGCAATACCAAAAATAATATTTTATATAATTACTCATTACAATACATTAAGATTTTACTTATAATAAATTATTTTTATTACAACAAAAAAGAATAATTATATAATAAATTAACATACTGAGTATAATATTGATAATAGTTAACACGCTGAAAAATCGGAGATTTGCCTATTGCATATTTATCTATGTATAGGTTTTAAAATTGTAAAATTAGCCTAAATTTGCCGTAGTCATATCTTTCCCACCAATAATAACCGAACGTAATTAGGTAATTATCAGTACCAACTTGCTGAAAATACTTGTCTGTTTCTGCCCCCTCCCCATTCGATTGAAAAACGTCAAATTGGATACAAATTACAATAACAATAAAGTAAACACAATGAAATTATTAGCAAAGAACGCTGAAATAAAATAAAATTTACATAAAATGGAATTGTTTAGGTCGGAGCTCTATTATATATTCGTAAGAAAAGAATCAAGTTTGTGGTGGAATCGCGTAACTGGCGCATTTTCAGTTCGTTCAGGTATTGGTACTTCTATTATGAGATACTTGACCCCTTAATTTTGTTTTAAAAATATCTCATATATTTATTTATACATTCTCTACGCACTTACTTTTTGGTACTTATGTTTTAATAAAAGTATTATAAATTTATTATTTATATCTTTAGCATGGGATCTATCGGATATCGAAGATATAGAATGCCTGGGTATTACGGAAGGTATTATAGGAAAAGTGGAACATTCAACTATTTATGAGCCGCGACTTATGATTATTAAAGAGAGTGTCCCAGTTGGCCAAATTTATTTCCATCATACTATTTATAAAATAAAATCAATATGTTTCCTAAATATGGGAGTTGCAAATCAAGAAGTCGAATTGTGTCCATGCACAAAACACAATTCATCCAGCTCAATGACAAGCACATCCAAAATGCCGAATAGAAAAATGGGTAGTCGTTTATTTGAAAATTCTGCATTCTTAAACAAAACCGTGGGAGCCGTAAAGAATGTTAGTAATACAATCAAAAGTACTACACAGCAAGCTGCAACACAGGTAGTCTTTGTTTATTACACCTCACAGTATCTATGTAAAGTTATTCTTTAAATGAGTAATATCTTGCCTAGTAAAAGAGGCATCTATGGTATTGGTGATATAAAAAAATGTACATGTAATTAAAACAAATTCCCCATTGGTGTCATACTTAAACTATTCTTAATGGCTTTTATTATTTACATTTGTAGAACTTAATTAGTTTATTGTAATGAACTAGATCTATATCAAATTCAGTCTGCTGTCTTATCAATTATTTTCTATATTTTGTGCTTTGATTGTGGCTGGTTTTTATACTGCTAATTGAAGAAATATATATTGATGGCTATCTATAATTTTTTTAACAGGTAAAGCAAACTGTAAAAAAGCAAAGGGACCCAAAGCTGGCAGAAAGATTTGAGAAAAGGCTCACAGACGAATTGCATAAAATATTTGACGACTCTGACAGCTTTTATTATTCCCGGACCCTAGATATCACAAACAGTCTACAGCGTCAGTACGAAATAGAGAAAATTCTGGAAACCGAAGACGCCGGTGGGAAAACGATAACTGATATAACGAGATGGTGGAAACACGTCGACGATAGATTTTTCTGGAATAAACATATGTTGAAGGACATCATCGCTTTGGATGTGAGTCATTTCATAAAAGTATTTTGTTTCCAATTAAAATAAATACCCTTGAACTATGAATACACTAATAATCGTTAATTAACCAATTGTGGCGCTAGTAAAACACCTGATTGTAAGCTTAATATCATGTAAGGCAGTAACTTAGTAGCCAGTATCCTATAGCCAATATGTTTAACCTTGTCCAGATGCATCAAACATATCTTAAAAATCCAACGCTTTTCTCTGCACATTGTTAAGAAACTTCTCAGCATAAATAGTTACAGTTGGATATTAAGTTATCTTAAAAATCCAACACTTTTCTCTGCACATTGTTAAGAAACTTCTCACCATAAATAGTTACAGTTGGATATAAAGTTGAAAATGTGGATAAAATTGTTCAAAAGGACCTCAATTTTCAATCATTCATTTACAACCATTCTGTTGATTGAGCAAAGTCTTATGTAAGCAAATAATGAAACATGTCTTCTCATATTACAGAAAATAAATACTTTTGTGTATATGTCATGTTTTCCTTATAAATAAATCTCAGATGTATAGGAGAATACATATATTTAAAATAGTAAACAATTCCAGAGTCCCAATTGTGACCAGTGGATTCTGCCTGTGATCCAAGGTTACGTGCACTTGTCCCAGATTGCTGTGGACCCAGCTGACAGCAATCCTTTGAATGTAGAATCCCTCTCCACCTCTAACTCTTGTGACGAGACCTTCACACTCGGTCTGATATCCAGAAGATCGCGATATCAAGCCGGAACGAGGTATGTTTATTATGTGGCATTTAACAAATGAATATGCTCTCTCTATTCTCTTGAATTTTAATCAAAATTCTGTTTATAATGTGATGAAAAAACAACTTGGACAATGTTTGTTTTCAGTCTTATGGCAACAAAGGCAACCTGAAATAAGTAGGACGGTAAATGTATTGTATAATATGTTCACCAATTGTGGCGTAGTGGCCAGGGCCCCTGCCTCTTGCGCCAGAGGGTACGGGTTCGATTCCCACTACTGTAAAAATATTGTGCGATGAACATTATAATATTTAAATATTTACAAAAGAAAAGTATGTTTAAGTATATTTCAGTTTGTTATGCTTAGTTTGGAACTACAAAACGATAAAAATGTGTATATATAAAGATATCGATATAAAGTAATAAATAGTACGTATATACTCAATCCTCAGGTTCTTCTATTTTCTATTGCTTAAATTAGTTTATTAAAATTATCAAAACCACACAATTAAATATTTGTAGGCAAAAAAATACCTACGCTACAGATTGAGCGGACATTCGCATTCGTTTTTTTTTTTCAAGCATCTTTTTTTCACTAAATAAAAAGGTACAACCGTCGCGGCATCGAGCCGGGCGGGAAAGTGGCCAATTACGTGGAAACGGAACAAATCGTCTCTATCATCTGTTCGGACAGCATTCACAGGGCTTCTTTCGTACAGGTCAGTGGATAAGCGCTAATTATTGTGCCGCGGTACAGTCGCGCACGTCGCCGACAGTTATTTAAGAAACGGTTTACGCGTTATAGCGCTGGCGACTATAAATTAATTAGATCCGACTGTCCATTCAGAAAGAAAAAGAAAGTTTTTAGAAGAAATGGAAAAGAAATGTTTAATATAAATATTTTTATTAACAATTCGGTTTTTATCAGTCTATACTATGATGGAATTGCGAAGACCATTTCTGCCCAAAAATTTTGGAATCAGTTAAAGCTTTAATCGCGTTTTTTTTAAGCTGTAATCATAAATAAATGTTTATTACAATAGAATTAATTGTCACATTTTATGTGTCAACTTATACTCTTGTATAGTTTGTATTTATTACGCGTGTATATGGGGGGCATAACTGATTGCATAATTTTCATGCAAATTATTTCTGACGTATGTTGATATGTAGACGTTACCATAAAAATATGAGGTAAAATTCTGCAAGTATATTTTTGTTGCTGAATGTACAAAAATCTGGAGCCAATCTAGATCATATTTTAACAATAATACATAACTAGTGGTTGGACATAGTTATAGACATGGCGCCATACAAAAATTATCCTCATCATTTTAAGTTTAAACTGACTTCCTGACGAGGATTCGAAACTACGCCTTCCTCGTCGTCTTGCCCGTTAGCCATCTTCACTGTAAAACTTTTATTCCTTGAATGGTTGAAAGATTTCTCCAACCAATGAAGACGCGATCGAAATCAAACAATGTTTATAAGTTAAAAGTCTGAAGCCTCATTTGGCTATAGTCTTGTGTTTAGGTAAAGACGCCGCTATAGAGATGATGTGATAGGGCAAGGGAAGAATACTCGAATCGAACTATTTATGTACAATTAGCTTTGTAAAGATTTCGTGTAAGTGGGTATAATGAAACGCTTGACTTTGCCCAAATGCAAATTTTGTAACATGTATATGACATTACATAAATAATTAAAATTTATTTATATTGCTTAAATATTCTATTAACAATATTTTTTATAACTTAAGCTATATATTTATCCTCGTAATTATGTACCTATTACATAAGCAACAACACAATAAAAGCCTTTCAAGTCCTAAAACAACTACAGCAGATAAAGATAAAAAATGTAAAACACACGGACATTAACGTCGACATTATTAAAAAGAATTTTCAAAATTCGAACAAACTTTTCGCCCGTCCGTTCCCTGAACCCGAATTCGTATTTCGAATGGCGACGATGAACCGCCGCGTTTCGAAGTTTGACTCTCGAAATCGCTGGCAGCGCGCCCGCAGCGCTTGACCCAAAAACATCCGCTTTAATCAATATCGAATCCGTACAAAGCGAGATAACAACCGCTCCGAAGTGAAATAGGGCACGTACGCCCGAAATGGCACCCCTCAAAAGCGCCGCGCCGCTTGAGAGAATACAAAATGAACAATAATGCGAAGTAGAGATCTTCGATACTAGATTTTTCATTTTTATATTTAGTAATTTGTAATAACGAAATAACCACACTCAAATATTATAATTCACTTTCTAATATCTCTGTATACATAATTATTCTGTACGTGTTACTCTCCTCTCTCTGTTCTCCTAAACGGCTTGACTGATTTCAATTAAATTATGTGTGTGTCTTCAGGTCGATTCGAGAATGGGCTAAATTCACAATTCGGTCCACTACAATTTTTTTTTATTTTTTTATTTATAAGTTGTTTTCCGATTTCAGTCGTGTTTACAGGACAATGTCTCTTCGGGTCCGCTTGTTACAATATAATGTATATTATAATAATTATATTGCACTTTATAGGTAATACGAATGTATTCATAAGAATGTCTAACCGAACCGGTTTATTTTTTTATTATTTCAAATTATCCCATAGTTTCGGTTATGGATATTAACTTTTTTAATGTACAAACAAGTTAAAGGAGGCCAAGGGGCACATAATGAAAGATCGGTTCTTTCGTTATCGATTTTATGTAAAAACATACGATACGATTTTTATACGATCGATTTCTTTTTGCAAGATCGCACCGCACATCCCGAATAAAAAATAAGTGAGCAGTACTATGTTATGCTATGTGGCTAGTGTTTCTGCTCGTACGGGGGAAAACTTGTGACGGGATGTCTCGTTTACACCCTATCCTATATTATTCGAAACTCATATCGAGTTCGATTACTATTTCTGATAGATTTTAATTTCGGATATCCGATAGTTTCGATTACGATTATGGAACTTCATAACATCCCTGCTTTATAGGCACCGGAAACCCCACACTCTTGTTTATCTTAGCACTACATTTGTATTAAATCCCCTTTTATTATTATATTCATAATTAAATTTGTCGTATTAATATTTTATTGTTATATTTTTATATATTCAACGATTTTTACTTGAATTGTCAACGATAAGATGATTGAGAAATCGTAAATTTGTATCTTTTCTAAACTAAATGCCATCCTTGACAAAACTGAAAACTGGTAGAATTTAAAGTTGTAAAAGTAAAACTTTCTGTATCCGAGTCAGGGAGTAGAATTTTAAGTGAAAACCCGGCTGTAACAAAAGGTATACGTCGACTTCTGTTTACTTCGTTGGATCTAAATGTTCACAACATTGATAGCACATCGATAGAAACTCAGAGAAAGATTTTAATGCATTAATTTTGCACCATCAGCTTGATAGACTGTCGTTTATATTGCACCAAAGACTGCAAACGTCTATGAGGGAAGACGGCTAACGACCACTCGGTTCAAGTGAAGTCAAGTTCGGAAACCGTTTGCATCATTGACCAGACGAAACGCACAGGCGTAAATGTTTTTTTTTAAAGTCAGGTTTTATTAAGCATGGACATCTATAAATCCTTTTGGTTGGCAGATGCCTTACAAACTCAACGCTCAAGTATAACTTCGACTTCACGTCGGTCTTCCAAGAGAAGAGGCAGCGGTACTTCCCTGGACGATTCGGAAATAACGCAATGGAACGATTCTTGTTGTCCGCAGCGAATGCTTCGAAACGGACCGTAAAAGCTGCACTTCGCCTATTTTATCTTTCCTTCCGAGGCTGACCGCTTTATTTTCATTAACATATGCTTTATTTTTAATTATAATTAAAGAGCGTTAAATTCCAACGCAGGTCCGCGGTTCGGTGCCGATATTTTGGAGCCAGCCGGAGTATAAATTCCGACCGCCTCCACGACTGGACAGAGGTATTTTATGTACTATATACTACTAGTTTTGGATACAACACTAACGCCCGGTTTCTGAAACACTGATCATCGTAGATGTCAACTAATGAGCTGTCAAATAGCCTTTTAAATTTCATTTCAGCTACCAAAAGGATGGTTAAACTCTCTGAATTGACCAGAATCTTCTTAATGATCAGAATGAGCAATTCAAAGAGTTTAACTATCTTTTTGGCAGCTCAAGTAACATTTGAAAAGCCAACAAATTGACAGATGATTAGTTAACATCTACGATGATCAGTGTTTCAGAAATCGGACGTAAGTTTAGCTGGCTACTTCGTACGCGTGTTTTAAGAAATAGTTAATTTTTACGTTGTATGCCTATGACAACACACAAATGCCACGGCTTTACATTGCGGTAACGTGTTAATAAGAATCTAGGTGACAAGAGTTTACTGCTGGTAAGGGGTAAAACAAATCCCACTATTAATCACGTGATATTCCGACGTGTTTTGTCGATTCGACGACTCGGTGGCACATCTAATAATTTCAATGGTTTCCGCCGTTTGCTGTTTCGATCTCCACACGGGGCAATTATTTGTGCAACGACGGCATTTTTTCCGACGATTAGTATTACCCGTGTAAGCTGGCCAATTAATGGCGATGGGACGTTTCCGTTCGGCCGTATTATTTGAAACCATTCACCACGCCACCGCCCAGGCGAGGAGGAGACCCACGCCGCCTTCAAGAAACACTTCGAGGAGGAGCTGAAGATATACAAGCACGTGTGCATCGTCAACCTGGTCGAGCAACAGGGCCGCGAGCGCGTCATATGGGAGGCGTACGGGAACCACGTGCTGAAATACAACAGCCCCGACGTGATATACGCGACCTTCGACTTCCACGAGTACTGGTGAGTGGCCCAACTCATATGCCCCCTAAGGTACACCGCAAAACGTACAAATCTATGTATGTGCATGTTGACATGTAAAAATACATGCGAACTTTTATTGCACCACCAATTTATATGTGATGCGTAAATCAGTTAGCATATGCTATTGTGATAAATTTTTCGGTAATTTATACAGGGTGATTTTTATAGACGACGAGCATATGCAGATATGATTCTTAATCTGAATCTGGTGCTTACTTGTGACCTCATATTATTTTTTTCAAAGACTAAATTTTTCAAACATTATGGCCACCTTAAGAAATTCCTGCCTTACCGTATCAATACAGTTATCCTATTGACGAGCGCTAAAACTTTTCTCGTTATTTCTTGTCAAAATAAAATATTAATATTTTTTTTATTATGGAATGCTCAATTAACATTATGTCAAAGTATGTACTTCGTCTAAAAAATAAACTTGTATATTAAAGTCACATTTAAATTACCTCTTGAGATCAGACAAGCAATAAAGACCAAAAGGTATCGTAAAAATGTAAGGTCAAATTACTCGATTCCGATTTAGGTAATTACATGCAGTAACGAATATAAATTAACTTAAATAGGATTTACCAATGATATGCGAACCAAAAATTGTCAGCCCCGAAAGTTCATTTCTGATTTGATAACACTTATTCACGTAATTATTTTATACCGATTGACATATCTCAAATCTATTTCATGTTCTATTTCATAAAATATTTACTTGAGTGAAGAGGCTAAAAAAAGTATTTGTAAAATATTTTTTTTGTTCAATCACACAATTTAAATTCTGTGATTCCGTGTCGGATGTTTCCCTAGCTATCTCCTTCTGTTCCGTGTGAAAGAGAACGCATGTAGTATCTGTTGTTGATTCTAATTATCCAGTGTTCAAACGTTAACGCCATTTGCTATCTCTCTCCACCCCTTCACGACTAAAGAGGGGGTCGTGTTTTATAAGTCTTTGATTCCGTGTCGAGTGTTCCCCAGTCTTGATTCTAATTATCCAGTGTTCAAACGTTAATGCCATTTGCCATCTCTCTCCACCCCCTCACGAATAAAGAAGGGGTCGTGTTTTATAAGTCTTTGATTCCGTGTCGAGTGTTCCCCAGTCTTGATTCTAATTATCCAGTGTTCAAACGTTAATGCCATTCGCCATCTCTCACCACCCCCTCACGAATAAAGAAGAAGCCGTGTCTCATTCATCTCTGATTCCGTGTCGGCTGTTCCCTCTCATGTATTATCCAATGTTAAACATGTAAAAACTGATGTACTTTTATATGGGGAAGCGTTGGACCCTATTGACTCAACTGTATTCCTTGGTACAACTATTGATGCCAAACTGCAATGGGGCCCCCATATTAATAGACTGGCGAGTAGACTTAGCTCAGCAGCTTTCGCGGTCAAAAAAATAAGACAGTTAACTGATGTAGATACGGCTCGCTTGGTATATTTTAGTTATTTTCACAGTATAATGTCTTATGGCATTCTGCTTTCGGGTAACGCGGCCGACAATCTTTATCTTACAAAAGAGAGCTATTCGTGCAGTTTACAATCTGGGCCTCAAAGAATCGTTAAGAAACTTGTTTAAAGAGATAAAGGCTGCTCAATACATTTTTGAAAATGTTTTTTATGTCCATAAAAATAAGGATAAATTTTTAAGACATAATAATGTTCATGATATAAATACTAGGAACAAAAATAAATTGATCCTACCCACAAGTAGACTCCGTAAAATAAGTAAATCTTTTATGGGACAATGTATACACGTTATTACAACAAAATTCCAGAAAACGTTCAAAATGCAACAATAGCTAAATTTAAAAAAATAGTAAAAGAACGTTTGTGTGTTAAAGGCTACTATAATATTAATGATTATTTAAATGATAACACACTCTGGTAATGAACTGATCGCTCCAGGCTCTTTCAATCGGAGTTCTTATATTGTATTTTAACGAATTTATGTCAAACTGCTTATTTAAAAAAAAAAAAAAAGCCCGCTGAGTTTCTTTCGCCGGTTCTTCTCAGTACAGTGACTTTCTTTTTCGAACCGGTGGTAGTGTTTTGACTATCAATAAGTGATTGTAATATGTTGAAAAATCTAAATCAAAATCAAAATCAAATGTATTTAACATTTGATTTTGATTTTGATATCTGTCTTTGATTCGATGTTTCGTCTCTTCCAGCGTTGAAACACTAACATACATCGCCATTTCTCTCTAACTCCTCACGAATAAAGAAGAGGTCGTGTCACATTCATCTCTGATTCCGTGTTGGATGTTCCCTCTCATGTATTATCCGTCTTTGATTCGATGTTTCGTCTCTTCCAGCGTTGAAACACTAACATAAATCGCCATCTCCCTCTACCTCCTCACGAATAAAGAAGAGGTCGTGTCACATTCATCTCTGATTCCGTGTCGGATGTTCCCTCTCATGTATTTTCCGTCTTTGATTCGATGTTTCGTCTCTTCCAGCGTTGAAACACTAACATACATCGCCATCTCTCTCTACCTCCTCACGAATAAAGAAGAGGTCGTGTCACATTCATCTCTGATTCCGTGTCGGATGTTCCCTCTCATGTATTATCCGTCTTTGATTTGACGTTTTATCTCTTCGAGCGTTGAAACACTAGCATAGTTCGCCATCACTCTTCACCCCTTTACGAGTAAAGAAGAGGTCGTGTCTTACTTTACTGTGTTGGGTGCTCCCCCAGTGGCCGATTTACAAATTCGCCGCCAATAGGCTGTTGAATATTTTCCGCCCCTACTGACTTTTGAAATTCGATACCCTAGTCCGCAATCATATTAATTACATTTATTCTGTCATTAAAATTATGGTTTCGCCTTCATTACATCAGTTTTTTTTAACTTTGTGATTTGTGCTCCATCGTCTTCATTACATCATATCGGCCCCTAAAATCTGCCGCCCTAGGCTCCAGCCTACTTAGCCCACCGGTAAATCCGCCACTGTGCTCCCCAGTCGCGGCATGCACTACGAGAACGTGAGCATCCTGATAAACGCGATCGCGGACATAATCGCCGAGACGCGCTTCACGTGGCGCGACGACCGCGGCCTCATATGCGGCCAGGGCGGCGTCTTCCGCGTCAACTGCATCGACTGCCTCGACCGCACCAACGTGGTGCAGGTACAAATTCGTTCGGCTGTTACTGTTACAGGCTTGAGTGAATGAATGAGATACGCTTTATCGTACACCAGACAAAATTACAAAGGTAACAAACGATTACATAAACTTACACTTGGCGGCCTTATCGCTCAAAAGCGATTTCTTCCAGGCCTGGGGGAAGGTCTCTTTTTTATACGAAGCTGACGGTCAACCCGTGTTCAGCTAGGGCCAGATTTAGGGGAGGGCAACCGAGGCTACGGCCCCGTGGCCTCCACAAAAAAGGGAACAGAAAAGAGACTTCGGAAAAAATTTCAAATTCAAACTAGCAAACAACTTCCGTTAGTTAATGCTAAAATTAAAATTTAGATAATTCTTGTTTCCGATTATATATACGTTAGTTAAATTATAAAAGAGTCTGTCGGTACTTGGTTTCACAATAAATTACTTATTTGAAAACTCGACTGAAAAAACTTTTTCATTTTATTTGGATAATAATTTGGGGCCAAGGGGCCTCCACTTTTTTGCTGCCCCGAGATCTCCAGACCTGTAAATCCGGCCCTGTGTTCAGCTATTGCGCGAATAGGATTGTCGGAGTTTATGTAATGAGAAGGTGGCAAGCGAGCTGACGGTGCAGCTGTTGTGATCACCGACCATGGACATCTTCAACACCATTAGTCTCCTATTGCCACGTTTTAATACACGGCGCCCCGGTTACCTCCCTCGCCGAACGAAACGCAGGATTGTAACACTTTACGCCCTCCATGATTTTCATTAATAATATAAAATTATGAATTTTATACTATTATATATACCAAATAAACACAAATTACAGCTAAGAAACATCTCGGTCACGTCAGCTTTCAAACATAAATAATCTCACCACTCCATTCGTTTAGAAGCAACGCTGTCAAACTTGTAATTCGTGCGGTGGTACGGCCACGCAGCAGCCTGGGCTGTTGCACGAATGGGCAAGTACCACGACCTCACAGAACACCAGCGTAAAGTGGAAGTATGACAAATACTTTCACGTTTCGTCTGGTGAGTGAGGTAGCCGTAGCTCAATTTTCAAAAGGTTGTCAACGCATCCGCAACCCTCGGGTGTAGCAGATGTCCGTGGGCGGCAGTATTCACTTAACATCAGGTGAACCGTCTCCTCGTTTGGCAATTTTTCACATAAAAAAAACCCTATTTTCAGGCCGTCGGTAAAATTAATCATCATAATTCTTCGCGCACACACCTACGACTGACATGGTTTTGATCAAAATACGGTAAATAATTCCCGTCTATGTCCAGACGGCCATAGCGAAGTACGTGCTGGAGCTGCAGCTGTGCAGGCTGGGCCTGGGCACGCCCGGCTGCGGTCTACCGCCGTCTTTGAGGAACGCGTTCCTCACCATGTGGGCGGACAACGGCGACGTGGTGTCCAGGCAGTACGCGGGAACAAAGGCGCTAAAGGTACCCCCCCTTTTTTTTTTCTTTTTGGTTAACGTAGATTTCCCCCACGTTCGGTCGGTTGAAGAGTGGCGGCTGCCGAACGCAAATGGCTGTGATCGGGACGTACTTAAATCTTATATGTGTGGTATGACGTCTCTATCTAGGATGGGAGATTACTTGACGTTTACATTCGAATTTCACAGGGCGACTACACACGCACAGGCGAAAGAAAATTCACGGGCATGATGAAAGATGGCGTCGCGTCCGCTAACAGGTGACAAGCACTTTATTTTGTTACCTTTTTTATTATTTATTTTCTGCAGCGAAAGCGTTCAGTCTGAAGAGGTACATTGCTATTATAAAAATGACACTCGCACGCGCCAAAACAGTTCAAAAGTGTTCTGACAGTCGACGTTTCCCGCCACAGATTCATCGTCCGCCATTTTAACGACGCCATGACACAGTGCGCCATAGACATTGCGCTCGGGCAGCCGATCGATGGGTCGACCATAGACGAGCTGGACGACCTCTGGCGCGACATAAAGACCGCCTCGTTGATGGTCATAGAGAACCTGGGAACGGACAGGTCGAATTTGAAAATGATGCCGTCTTATTTCGGTCATCCGTTGAGAAAAGAAATGGCGTCCGCCGAGGTCGCGTATGGATTGGGGAGGTCAGTTTAAGCTGGACAGTCGATCAAACCTCCGCTTAGCTGCAGCCCCCTTAGTTTAACGAGTAGAAGGCTTTACCTTAACACATGAGGTTGTTATACGTTCGCCCTTACAGCTTTATTTGCTGTCCATACTAATCATTCTCCAGTTGATGTAATGCTAAATTACTTTAATTATAGCCTTTCCTCAGTAATAGGGCATTTTAATCTTGTACTTAACGTCAGCAGAGAAATATTTGTAATCTTATTATTTTGAGAAAATTAAGGCTCACATGTAACATTAAAATCTTTAATGCTTGTATTGAAGAGAGCTAAAGGATTTAGCGTAGAATTGTTTTCGAAGTTATGCTTCTTTTGGAAAATAAAAACCAAAGTAGTTTTTTTAAGATGCGCGTACAAAACGACACAAAACTAACTTCATGAAACTTTATAGTGAGATTATTAATTAATCATTAAATCTATAAAAACATATACAATTAATCGTCTTCTTTTGGAGTTATTTACATTTTTTGCACCAGAGAAATATAACTTCTTACGTGCGTTCTTACTTACACATAACATAACATAATACACACACTTTTTTTTTACCACGCAATTAAAATCATGAGCTTCGAGTCTATGCTTCTATAAGTTCTAGTTAAAATTTTAAATACGTCGTAACTTACACTCTTCGTCTCTGAAATTAACGGTTGTTTTATGGCATCGGTGAATAATACCCAACAATCTAATTTTCCTTTTTCATCCCCTTTTATGTCTCTTTATTACTCTATCGCCCGGTTTCCGTTGAACTAGAATGATCTTCTTAATGATCAGAATGATCAATTCCAAGAGTTTGTCCATCCTTTTGGCAACAAATGAAATTTGAAAAGCCATTCGACAGCTGATTAGTTAACGTCTACGATGATCGGTGTTTCAGTTTAACGGTGGTAGGGCCACGTAGCAGCCCGGGCTGTTGCACGAATTGGCAGGCCCGTCCGGGTACCACGGCCTCACAGAAGACCAGCGTAAAGTGGAAGTATGACAAATACTTTCGCGTTTCGTCTGGTGAGTGAGGTAGCCAGAGCCCAATTTTCAAAAGGTTGCCAACGCATCTGTAACCCTCGGGTGTGGCAGATGTCCATGGGCGGCGGTATTCACTTAACATCAGGTGAACCGTCTGCTCGTTTGACAACTTTTCGCATAAAATAAATAAATAGAAACCGGGCGTAAGTCTTCTTTTGCACAGCCCTAATGCACAAGGGATCCCAAGGGAAGAATCACGCGAAACCACGAGACACATTGTTGCTTCTTTCCTCATCTGGTATGTCTTGTTCAAAGGGCGATCAGGGCTGGCGTGCATAGACTTTGGTCCATATGTATCCTTTCATCCATATTATAGACCATTCATCATTACAAATTTTTAAGTAACGCTTACTTATCCTGAGTAAACGTTTCTTTGACACATCCTTACTTCCTTACTCGTATTATAAACGCGAAAGCTTGTATGTACGGATGGATGTTTGTTAGTCTTTCACGCAAATACTACTGAATGGATTTTAATGAAACTTTACAATAATATAGCTTATACATCAGAATAACACATAGGCTATAATTTCTCTGTCTTGTCTTTCTGTCTGAATGTTACGCCTTCAGCCTATTCTACGCAGACGTAGTCGCGGGCAGCAGTTAGTTTTTAATGTAAGAAGCTGACAAGCAAGGTTCACGTTATATTAAGTGATGACCCATGGACATTTGCAACAAGTAGGGTTGATGATGAGTTGTCTCACATTTTAATGAAATTGGCTCCGTTCATCTCACTCACCGGACGTAACGCAGTCATAACACTTGCACATCCCGTCACTTCCCCGGTTGGACTTACCCATTCGTGTTAAAGCGAAGACGTCGCTACGGTACAGTTAAATCGATCTCCGCCTTCGTTCCAGGTACTACCTGTCCACATTCAAGGACGCCCTGCGTCAGGTCGCCATCGATGTGATGACGGGCGAATCCCGGACGATCCCGGAACAGCTGATAGTGCCCGAGTGCAGCCGCTGCACCTCCGTCAAGGTGCTGATGCTCAACGTGCGTGCATGGCATATTGCTTCTTACGCTCATTAGGATAGAGTCCAAAATGGGAAGACGGCTTCTACTGTTACCCGCTGGTCGCTGTCACGGGTAATGCCGTTTTATATATAGACACATCATATGCCATCAAGATGCATATGATGTGTCTATATATAAAACGGCAATAATGCGTGCATGGCATACTTATGATTTTAAGTATTTTGCTTCTTATGAATTTAAGGATAGAGTTCGAAATTGAACTGGCTATTGTAGTTAGCTGCGGTGTTGTCGCTTTTGTACATAGTCACAGGTAATGGTATTTTATATATAAACAGGTTATATGCCGTCAAGGTGTTAATGCCCGCCGTGTGTGCATGACATATTATTTTAAGGATGGTGTTCAAAATTGATACGCCTGTATTGTTAGCTGTGGCATTGTCGCTTTCATTCATAGTCACAGGCAAAAAGACCATTTATGTATAGACACGTTATATTCCGTCAAGATGCTGATGCTCTAAGTGCGTACATGGCTTCTTATGTTCATAGAGGTAGAGTTCAAATTGTAACTGCAATTATTGTTAGCTGCAGCGTTGTCGCTCTCGTTCATAATCAATGACGATTGCCCGAAAGAATGTGTTAACAAAAGCTTAGCATCGAATTAACCACTTATACGCTTGCCAAATTACACGTTAAAAAATGTTTCTTCTGGCTTACTTAGTGTTTATAAAACACCTCCACAAAATGGGATTATCATATATAGTTCTTAATTAATGTGCTTTTAATTTGTATTAAAGAACGGATTTACTCATCTAATTTCTGTTGTCTAACCCGAGAGACCTACAGAGTAGAAGAGTCGATCAGCTGTTACATCGAAACAATGAAGACCAAGATAAAGCTTTTTTACTTTCTGATCTGGTTCACCAGGAACGTACCGAGCCCGACACGGCCGCGATGGCGCAACACGTCAAGTCCCTGATCGACGATTGCAAGAAACTCCTCGTGGACTCAGAACCGGTGCTGGGTTCCTGGGGCCTAATAGACGCCGACCCTCAGTGAGTATCTTCGCCATTGATACTCATTCTTCGTTCTTTTCCAACTTCGCAACTGGCCTTTTTCTAGACTTTCCTCCCACGGTTTTGGGTTTCTTATTCACAACAAGGCTTAAGTATTCATTTAAAGTGTTTAGGTGTTATGGCTTTCTAAATTCAGTCTTCTTTTCACACACCCGTGCGTGACCGACAGAGAATTGTTCCCGTTCCCGAAGTTTATCCTTAGGCAAGGTCGACGACTGGTCGCCTGGTCGGAAAAAAAACAACATGACTCACCTGTTGTGCCTACCTAGCCGGGATAAGGGCAGAAGATAGAGGCCTGTTATCAATGTCCGGAATAATCCGATCAGAGTCTACTCGCTCCGAGCGTTGCTCATGCGCTGTCCCTCTAACGCAGAACCGGCAACCCGCACGAGACGGAAACGGGCAGCGTGATGGGGCTCTCAATTTGCTCTGAACGTTGCTTAAGCCCTGTCTCTCTCAAACACAGCACCGGCAACCCGCACGAGACGGACACGGGCGGCGTGATGGGCCTCTCCATTTGCTCTGAACGTTGCTTAAGCCTGGTCTCTCTCAAACACAGCACCGGCAACCCGCACGAGACAGAAACGGGCGGCGTGATGGGCCTCTCAATTTGCTCTGAACGTTGCTTAAGCCCCGTCTCTCTCAAGCACAGCACCGGCAACCCGCACGAGACGGAAACGGGCGGCGTGATGGGCCTCTCAATTTGCTCTGAACGTTGCTTAAGCCCTGTCTCTCTCAAACACAGCACCGGCAACCCGCACGAGACGGAAACGGGCGGCGTGATGGGCCTCTCAATTTGCTCTGAACGTTGCTTAAGCCCTGTCTCTCTCAAACACAGCACCGGCAACCCGCACGAGACGGAAACGGGTGGCGTGATGGGCCTCTCAATTTGGAACGTTGCTTAAGCCCTGTCTCTCTCAAACACAGCACCGGCAACCCGCACGAGACGGAAACGGGTGATGGGCTCTCAATTTGCTCTGAACGTTGCTTAAGCCCTGTCTCTCTCAAACACAGCACCGGCAACCCGCACGAGACGGAAACGGGTGGCGTGATGGGCCTCTCAATTTGCTCTGAACGTTGCTTAAGCCCTGTCTCTCTCAAACACAGCACCGGCAACCCGCACGAGACGGAAACGGGCGGCGTGATGGGCCTCTCAATTTGCTCTGAACGTTGCTTAAGCCCTGTCTCTCTCAAACACAGCACCGCAACCGCACGAGACAAACGGGCGGCGTGATGGGCCTCTCAATTTGCTCTGAAACGGAAACGGGCGGAGGCGGAATCGGGCGGCGTGATGGGCCTCTCAATTTGCTCTGAACGTTGCTTAAGCCCTGTCTCTCTCAAACACAGCACCGGCAACCCGCACGAGGTGGAAACGGGCGGCGTGATGGGCCTCTCAATTTGCTCTGAACGTTGCTTAAGCCCTGTCTCTCTCAAACACAGCACCGGCAACCCGCACGAGGCGGAAACGGGCGGCGTGATGGGCCTCTCAATTTGCTCTGAACGTTGCTTAAGCCCTGTCTCTCTCAAACACGCACCGGCAACCCGCACGAGACGGAAACGGGTGGCGTGATGGGCCTCTCAATTTGCCCTGAACGTTGCTTAAGCCCCCTGTCTCTCTCAAACACAGCACCGGCAACCCGCACGAGACGGAAACGGGCGGCGTGATGGGCCTCTCAATTTGGTCTGAAAGTTTCTTAAACCCTGTCTCTCTCAAACACAGCACCGGCAACCCGCACGAGGCGGAAACGGGCGGCGTGATGCGCCTCTATTTGCTCCGAGCTTTGCTTACGCCCTGTCCCTCTCTAACACAGCACCGGCGACCCGCACGAGACGGAGATGGACAGCGTGATGGTCCTCACAAGCGACGCCTACTACGTCACCGACTACGACGAGACCTCCGACCGCCTGCTGTCTGTGCAGCGCGTGCCACTCGCCGATGTCACCTCGGTGGAGCTGGGGACTTTAGACTCTAACTCAACGGTAATAGAGTTCATTACGATCGAGAGATATCTTGGACATGAAAAACTTCCACCATAACCTGACCCACCTTGGATTCTAGACGGTACGGACCACGGTAATAGACTTCATTACAATTGAGGAATCTCTCGTACTTCAAACTCGGCCACCATAACCTAATTCACCACTACGACGAGCAAGCGAAAGAAACGCTTGATAATATTATACTTTGCACCCTAGCGGAGCCAAGACAGATAACTAGTTATATTTAATTTGATTATTACTGTGGTAGGGTCACGCACGTTCGGCTATTGCACGAATGGGGGATCCGTCCGGACAAGTACCACGACCTCACGGAAGACAGGCGTGAAGTAGAAATGTTAAACTTCTGCGTTTCGTCTGGTGGTGAGCGAGGTAGCCGGAGCCCAATTTTCATAAGGCCGTCAACGCATCTGCAACCCTCGGGTGTAGCAGATGTCCATGGGCGGCGGTATTCACTCAATATCAGACGGACCGCCTGCTCGCTTCACAAAGAAAAGTTCAATAATACGGTTCTTTTCACGCGGTTTTTCCTGCCGTTTTCCACGCGGCCAGATCTTCGGCGTCGGGCGCAAGTCCGCCGGCGAGACGACGCACTGCATCCGCATCAACTACAAGTACAACGGCGAGCCGGGCTACTTCCACATGTTCCGCTCCACCACGCTGCGCTTCTTCAACAACATGGCGGTGGTGATAAACACGCGCGACGAGATGATCGGTAAGATCACTTCGTTGAAAGGGGCCGCCCGTTAATCACCCGAGGCTCGGAATGGGGGATGGTTTGGCAAAAATCACGAAATATCACCGCCCCGCTCGGCTTGCCAGTGGCCGGTTATTCTGTTACTTTGGCCGAAATAACAGAATAACCGGCTAAATTGTAAAAATTTTAAGACTCTTTGTAGGTACTAAAAAATACACGTGATTTTGGGCGGGCGGGTTTAGTCTTAAGGCTCACCACGTATCACCAAGGGGACGAGGGGCGGTTAAAAATGCTAAAAGACATCACATGATTAATGGACGGCCCCAAAGCTACCTACACGTGTTGCAAATGTCCATGTCGCTTGAAAGAATTGAATTATAAGCGAGCCCCGACAATCTCATCGTCTTACATGAAAACCCGATTCATGTCGGTTTTCTGCTAGGTACATACCTAGCACCGGCTCTTTTGTCCAACAGCAGGAGCTGCTAAGAGTCCCTAAAGCAGTGAAATGAATTCTTACACTTTTATTCAAACAATTTATCGTCCTTGATCCTTTTTAACACCCATTCATTTAGCATGTGTTTACGTGTTTATCAACCATTTTTGCCTAAATTTTGACCCATACCAGATTTCAGGATAAGGATTTAGACAACCCGAATGGCTTAGTGGGTACCTGCCTCTTGCGCCAGAGGGTATGGGTTCGATCCTCCCTACAGTGAAACACAAAAATATTGTGTGATGACCATAGTGTTTTTCTAGTGTCCGGGTGTTTGTATATGTATAATATGTATTTATTTACAATATAAAAGTAAAGCATAGTACAAGCGTTGCTTAGTTTGGGAATAGAGAACTTTGTGTAAAACTGTGTCCTGAATTAAATATTACATTTTTTTTTGTCACACTTATGAAAAGTCGTAGACAATAAAATATAATTTTTCGACAAGTTCATCTATACATTTCATGCTATGGTTTAATTTTAAAAAATTTAGAATCTCTACATTCAATCTGCGAGTCGTTAATGGTGGCTCGAGACGTCGCTAAGTTGCCCCCCGTACCTTTCCACGACGGTGTGAAATTGGAGAGGAAGAAATCCAAGGTGAGCGAAGCTCTATTTTTAACCGACGACGTAAAAGGAGGGTGTTATAAGTTTGACGTGTCTGCCTGTGTATCAGTGTCACTGTCGCCCGGTTTCTGAAACACTGATCATCGTAGAAGTCAACTAATCAGCTGTCAATCATTCTGTTGATCATTCTAATCAATTCAAAGAGTTTAACAATCCTTTTGGCAACTCAAATAACATTTGAAAAGCCATTTGACAGCCGATTAGTTGACTTCTAGCGGTGATCAGTGTTTCCGAAACCGGGCGTGTGTCTGTCTGTAGCATCGTAGCTTCTAAACCGACCGAATATGATGCGGTATTTTTGGGTTGAAAGCTGACGTGATCGAGATGGTTCTTTGATATCATTTGAGGTTTTTTTTGTCAGTGAGTTACTTAAAATTCATAATTTTATAATAATAATAATACTTTATTTGCCATAACCCAAAAAAAAATAGAAAATTACATAGAAAAATATGAAAAAAAAATATAAAACAAACTATGATACACAATAAAACTATATAAATAACATTTTGGCAAAAAGGTAATAAGCTCAGCGATTTCTGAGAATTTCTCAGTGCTGATTTTCAGCTTATCCCTTAGTAAAGCTTTACATTATCATTTACAAATATTAGCGGTAGTTGGCATATTTTGTTCAAGTTGTATTTACATTGTTTATTCTCTGTATTTGATGAGCTTCGTTCGTTTGTAACGAAATCCCGCCTTCTATTGCATAAAAATGTTTGAAATCGGTTTCCTTCGGTTTGAAATCGGTTTTGAAATCCTTTCACAGTAATTTAACTCTATGATTTATTTACATTATTGGCGACACTCGTTCGTAATCACAAAATTTAGGTTGATTTTGTTCATTCAAGTTGGGTGTTAGTAAGTTCACTTATGAACCGGTTTAACAACTTGGATTTGTCCAGAGAAGTAAGGGCAATGTTTTTTTCACATAGAATATTAGAAGAAAGAGAGTGATAGAGAGAGATGGCTTTCTTCTCTCAGTTGTAACAAAATAAGCGTAAACTTGACTAAATATTCAATTTTACCTAAATAGTTTTAATTATTAAAAAAATGTGAATACGCACTGTAAGATGCTATACTTCTTTAGCGTAACATAAGAAAAATTACTAAAAATTTCATCCCAAGTTCGTTTGTAAAAAATACATCAAATCCAATTGATAACGGTTTAATTAAACAACTTGAATCATCGGTGAATATCAAAAATTTGTTATTTGTTACCATAGTAGTACCGTATAGAAGTTGGCGGCTATGCAACCAACTTCATCATGTCGCTTTTTTGGTAACAATTGTACTCTCATATTTGTTCCCAAATGCCCAAAAGAAGTATAATTTCCATGAAAAAAAAAAAATATCGATATATCGTCTCAGGTGCACGGCGGCCTGTCGGGCGTCACTGGTGGGGCGCGGTCCGCCCTCTACTTGGACGTATCGCGGCTCCCGTCACTCACGAGGAATGTGAGCGAGACGCAGCTAGTGGCGGACATACGGAGCGTCGGTAAGGACAAGTATAAAATGTCCGTACGCATATAGAAAATAGAATAACTTTTCAGCATTCGAATATGCATACATATTTATATTCTGTTTGCTGACGATACATCACTCATATTTAAAGTTGACCGAAATTTATCCAATTATGACGACGTAAATGGTGCACTTTCGCATATCCTTCACTGGTTCACCATAAATAATGTGGTATTAAATGCCAAAAAAACTAAATGTATTTTAATGTTCAATCTCAAGTGCAAAGATTAGCACTATAAACAATTTAAATTTCTAAATGTATTCTTTTTACTCTTCCTAGTGTGAGAAGGCAAAGTTTTAGTTTATTATTAAATAACGTATCCCTCAATCCGGTCGATGCGTCCCAATATATTTATTGTAATATCTTGTACGTTAGACATAATATTAATTGTTATCTAAACAATAGTGACAGACATAAATTAAATACTAGAAATAAGGACAAATTAATTACACCATTTTTTCGTCTAAAAAAAGTAAATAGATCGTTCATGGGGCAAAGTGTGCGCATGTATAATAAAATCCCACAATCGGTATTAAGTCTGCCACTAGATGAATTTAAACGCAAAATTAAACGCGAACTTATGGCTAAGGCATATTATACCATTGCAGAATATCTTGACGACGCCAATGTGTGGGGTAAATGCTATTGATACTCACGTAGGCTAAAATGACATACTTGTTCTATTATATTGTAAACTAATCGTTTAAAAAAAAGAGCAACTATTGAGTTTCTTGTCGGTTTCTTCTCAACAGAAACTGCTTTCCGAACCGGTGGTAACTTACGAACGTATCCATTTTTATGTAAACTTTTTGACATTTCATAAGAACGCGCAAGCGTCTATGTGAATAAATATATTTTTGATTTTGATTTTTGATATTAATAGACTGGCGAGTAGACTTAGCTCAGCAGCTTTCGCGGTCAAAAAAATAAGACAGTTAACTGATGTTGATACGGCTCGCTTGGTATATTTTAGTTATTTTCACAGTATAATGTCTTCTTCTGCTTTGGGGTAACGCGGCCGACATTAATACAATCTTTATCTTACAAAAGAGAGCTATTCGTGCAGTTTACAATCTGGGCCCCAAAGAATCGTTAAGAAACTTGTTTAAAGAGATAAAGGTATTGACTGTTGCTGCTCAATACATTTTTGAAAATGTTTTGTATGTCCATAAAAATAAGGATAAATTTTTAAGACATAATAATGTTCATGATATAAATACTAGGAACAAAAATAAATTGATCCTACCCACAAGTAGACTCCGTAAAATAAGTAAATCTTTTATGGGAACAATGTACACGTTATTACAACAAAATTCCAGAAAACGTTCAAAATGCATCAATAGCTAAATTTAAAAAAAATAGTAAAAGAACGTTTGTGTGTTAAAGGCTACTATAATATTAATGATTATTTAAATGATAACACTCTGGTAATGAACTGATCGCTCCAGGCTCTTTCAATCGGAGTTCTTATATTGTATTTTAACGAATTTATGTCAAACTGCTTATTTAAAAAAAAAAGCCCGCTGAGTCTCTTTCGCCGGTTCTTCTCAGTACAGTGGCTTTCTTTTCCGAACCGGTGGTAGTGTTTTGACTATCAATAGGTGAGTGTAATGCTCCTATGTTGAATAAATACATTTTGATTTTGATTTTTGATTTGATATGCACCGAATACGCATTTGAATCGCAATGGGGTCTACTATGTTTTGAAAAACCTACTAACTACTAAGTAAGGTTTTGAAACGAGAGCAAAACCATATTGTTAGCCACGCTCTTAGTATAATGAATCCTGAATAAAATCATTCAACCTGCTTAAAAAAGAAAACACTGTCCGAGTCTAAATGAGAAAGCATTTAAACGAGTCTTAGAACTTCTCCATTACGATGCCTGTGATGTCTTTTTTTCGTACATACAAACCAAAATCCCTTAAAGTGGCGACATCTTTTGCATTTAAAAAATAATTCATGTTAATACTTCAATATATATATACTTCAACACATTAACAGAACTATAATATGAACACAGATTATTGACTATTAACACCATTCCAAACGCAAAGCTGCCACTGGAATAACGCTATTTTAGTTCAATACCTATTTGTAGAGGGCGTTGCTTTTGTTATAAAAAAATCAAGGAAGATTCGTCGTTCTGATATAATCTGAAGAATCATAATGTCCATTAATACATTCCTTCCAAAGAAGCGCCCCTTATTTCGGTCAAACTTAGCTTTTAATTCCACAGACACGATTTAGGTTCAGGCTCACGTTTTTTGGTACAATCAAATGTCGAGCGACGTGCGTCCTCGAACAGACCGACGAACATCACCTCACCACGTGCCCCAATCACATCCCTAATCCTTCCCGCCACCCGCCAATCAGACTCCACGAGGGCGACGCCGCTGACGGGATCCGTGCTGGAACAGATCGTGCGCCTAGTCAGCGGCTGCACCCAGTGCCGGTTCATTCCCGGCGCGGGCGGACGCTCCCACGACGCCACGCAGACCGTTAGTACTGAATTGCAACCGGAAGGATAGGGCCACTGAACACCAGTTCCCATAAATACCTCTCCCACACCCATAAAACGTTCGTACACAAACCCGTGGGTTCCGGCTAGCCCACCGGTTCTGAGTTCTTAAGCTAAGCTTAAGTTCTGAAGCTTTAATAGTGTAAGAATTGAAAGCGTAACATCAGTTATACAAAAAAAAAAAGTTTGTACACTCGATATTTACTCATGGGGCGATAAAAATGGACTGAGTGGATATGACTCATATGGATCCTCTCGGTCAATTTTTATCGCCTCATCATGTAATCTCTAAAATGTCATAATAAACCAATATCGCCCCATGATTCAAAGCCTTGACCAACATATCTAAGATGAAATAACAAACCAACACCGCCCCATGATCCAAAGCCTTGACCAACATGACCGACATATCTAAGATGCATTAATAAAACAACACCGCCCCAGGATCCAAACCCTTGACCAACATGACCAACATATATAAGATGCAATAATAAACCAACACCGCCCCATAATCCAAAACCTTGTCCAACATGACTAAGATATCTAAGATATATAAGCCTTGACCAACATGACCAAGCATTAATGAACCAACACCGCTCCCAGGATCCAAAGCCTTGACCAACATGACGGAGCAGTTCAGCAGGCTGAACAAACTGAGCCACACCCTCAACGCGAAAGCGAGGCCCAGCCTCCAGCTGAAGTTCGACCAGGGCGCCTCTCGCACCAAGAAGATGTTCACGGTCGGCCTGAGCAGGGGTGACAGGAAGAAGGGCAGCCAGTCGGACGGCATGAGCTCCGAGTGCTCGTCCGATGACGAGGGCCGGACGAACATCTTCGAGCCGACCCTGGACAACTTCGAGAACAGCCAGCACTACATCGGCGACAAGCCCGACGCGGGCGGCGCCGAGAACGAGAACGACTGCGATCTCATCGAGAACCCGTTGTACTCGTCGAGGATCGAACCCGCCGAAGTGGCGGACCCGATGCCGCAGCTAATCGCCGAGCGGTCGACCACCAGAACGCCGAACGCCGTCGCCAAGCGGAACCCCTTCGACTCTGAAGCCACACCGACGCCCCAGATACTAATCGAGCCCGGTTCGAAGCCGGCGCCGCCAAGCACCCTACTCCTCGCGCAGAAGCTCTCGCACAGCTCCAGCGATGTCAACTACGAGGAAGCCGAGGGGCCCAGAGAGGCCGCCGGCTGCCCAAGGTCCAGCTCCCAGCACGAGATGGGCCTGAACATCAGCCAGTCGCACAGCGAGTCGGCGCTGAGGCTGAGGGGCATCGCCAGCCCCGTCTCGTCCGCCACCAGGGAGATGGTGCTGTCGCCGCTCTCCAAGTTGGCCAAGGGCGTCCAGACCTTGGGCGCCAACCTGGACCCGAGAAAGATCAAGGTACGCCCGCGCTGAATTATTGACCGTTCAGTCCAAAGTGGTCGCCCTCATAAGTTGAGTTAAAGTACATGGTTTTACAGTCTGCTGCTAATTTTTAGGGTTCCGTGCCCAAAGGGTAAAACGGGACCCTCTTACTAAGACTCCGCCTTCAGTCTATCTGTTAGTTCCTGTTAGTTCATGTCATCAGGCTGTATCTCATGAACCGTGAAAGTTAGAGAGTTGAAATTATCACAGATAATAAAAAAAAATACTAAAAAACAGAATAAAAAAATTATATGGGGCTCCATTACAATAGGTATATTTTGTACCGTTTTTATAAATAATGGGAACCCTTCGTGCGCGAGTCCGACGCGCACTTGGCTGGTTTTTTATACTTAAATACTTTTGTGTACTTGTATAATTCCAAAAAGACAAGACCACAGAGTTTCTTGCCGGTGCTTCTCTGGACAGGTCTAGTTTAGTAAACCTATGGTAGATTTTTGACGTCAAATAAGAGCTTAAAATAAGCCTATATTGAAGAAAAAATTTGGACTCGGACTCTGACAAACTCATCCATTTGTCCATTTTGTTTGGAATACTATCAGTATGGGAGCATTAATAGTTACACATACTTTCATTATAGTTTGCCAAAGTCTATATACATTCTTCTATTCTATATAGATAGATATTCTTTATAGATCTTATCATACTGTCTAATGATCAAATAGTGAATCATCACAATATTAAAATGATGGTCAGCAGTTTCTTATCTTTTTTTAATAATAATAATATATAATAATAATATCTTTATTTGCCATTGAACTGGGTATTTAACAAGATGACAAAATATAGCGTTTCGAACTCCAAGTTCAGCCATTACAAATAGCATGCAAATATTATCAGTTACAGCTAATATCAAAGTAATAATATATTAGTCAAAATAAGTATATCAATGTCAATAACAATACTAATTAACACTCTTTGTTTAAGTAACTCTTTTAATTTTGTAACTCTTTTAAATAACTTCTACCTGTTTGGTTATTTTATAAGCCACTTATTCCAGAAAATTCCTATTTAAAAGTCTGTTACAAATCATAATCATTGCAATAAAACTTAACATAAGAACAATATTATAAAATAAAAATACAAATTAAGATATCTATCTTATATACATATAATTCTATGGATATCAAAAAATCTGACAATCTAAGCAAATGCCATTGGTTTCACGAAACAATTATATTCCTTTCAGGCATCAGGCTCAGTTAAACAGATATCCGAGCAACAATATGAGGAACACAAGAAACTCCAAGAAAAATGGTATGGATGCAACACTCGACTCATCGCATTGTAGTTCCCCCACTACCAGAACAAATGAGCCACTGCAAGCTGTACCTAGGTGAAATTATAACCCAATGGTATTCCTAAAAAAATAATTGCTTATACAAACTGTTAGAGTGTAGTTTAAAACATAGTCTCTTCCATAAGTTTGGAAGACAAACATTTTTGATGTTCATTTAGTCAATATTTGATGGCTTAGTGTTCAGTTGATGTAACAGTGTAACAGTTTAACAGTTTATCTAGAAATATTAGTTAAATCTACTAAATTCATTTTAAAATAATGCTTTAAACATATTGTGAAAAATATTTACATGATTAACCCAATAGTGTCGCTTAGACAAATAAATGCTAGAATGTTCAATAAGAAATATTCCATCTCTCCTCTGTCATATGTTTATTAAAATTGTACATTTGAATTAACTTTCAAATAACATTTTGCTTTTTTATATAGTCTAGCATAACTCTACACAACACTACTTCTGAATATCTGACATGAATGATAGTGCAGGTGCCTAAAATAATTAAAATTACCTCATGATATATTGTCACAAAATTCAGTCAGTATTACTATTAGAATTAAATAATTATAAATAGTTATTTTAGATTTAACTTTTAGCCTTGTTATTGGTTATTAGCTTTTATTAGCAGGTTATAGTATTAAATATTATCAATATATCTGCAATTGCTGTGTACACAAACAGGTGTTTAAAATCCTAGTTTATTAAAAACGAAATTACAATGTTTAATCATGGCAATTTCTTTCTTCAATAAAAGGCGAAGGGATATTTAGGCACTTCCATCCCTATTTTTTTCTTAATACATGAAGTTCTACTAATTAATTTTAGTCAATACTTATTAATACATTGCATTTAAAGGAATAGAACATCAAATTTAAATTTGTTGATTGAAAAGAAGTACCCAAAACATAATATAACATTGAAATGCATCAGAATTTAATCAATACTTCAAGTAACACCTTTAAAGTAATCGTTAACTTAGCTTAAAATATTAACTAAGACAATTAAATTTAGTTACCAAAATACTAGGTCTAGATGTTACTACTGTAAGGCATTTATCTTTGTTTGGGAAACCAGTTCTTGCTTGATAAACATCATTCCTCTGACATAGGGTCACCCTATCTGTGATTTTTATATGATAAAGCACCTGTAGTTTGCCCAATTTCCTTTTTAATTAATTATTTAATTAATAATGATAATATTAATACAAAAAATATTTTACCCTAATACCTGACCTGTCAGACCTGATTAAGTGTTTTCCAATTTAAGGCATCTCACGAAATTCCTCAAGTCATGGTTAGTTAAACTTTGTGGATCACACTGCAAAACCATAACAAATCTAAAGCAATGCAAAATCTTGTGCACATGTAACCACAATTAAGTTTCCTTACGACATTAAGATTTGTTAAGTTTCTGTCTTAGAAACAATTGAAATTGGTAGGAAGAAGCAAGTTAGTTAATCAATAATACAGTTTCATGTATCAAAGTAAGTATTGTTATTTGACATAAAAGTTTAAGTAATAATATGTTACGAACAATGATCTATTGTATTTTAGTATTAGTATATAATATTTAGAATGTATAAACTACTTAATTAATACTACTTTATATATTAACCTCTTAATAATACTACCGACAGACGTATATACATTATGTATAAAATTTCAAGTTTCTATAGAAATAGTGGAGAATTGTTTATGCCAAAAAAATGTACTATGCACGAAATGTGCATATATACCTAACGTAGGTATTATGCAATACTACAGGTAACTAATATCTAATATGACAACCGATGATACAGCTTATATGTTAAAAACTTAGCTTGATCTCCCCAAAATTATATAGAATTGTAATTGGCTACGCTTATTGACATGTTATTGGCAGTTTAATAACTGTTTTATCCTATTATGAAACATATACTCAAACCTATATTAATAAATATAACAAACTAACATTTATTTTCTCTATTTCACCTTTATCTGTTTGAAAAAGTAAAACTGAAATGTTTATTTTGTTATAAAACAAACGCCTTCGTAACATTTTTAGACACTCAGAATTTCAGATCAAACAATGTTTTATTATATTTCCTATTGATGTTCCAGAAACCTTTGATAAAAATGTATTACAATTTACACATATATACTAGCATTTTTATATACCTATCTAAATCTGTTCTGCTCCGATTTATTTTTACGAAATTGTTTAAAATATATTGCTGTATTTCAAATTGTAAAATTAATAGAGTATTTATATATGTTATATTCGATATTTATTAAGTAAAAAGACGTAATATATTGCACTTTTCATACATAATTAAAACACTTCTTACAAAATGGTATTCCCTTAAAACGGTACATAGGCTTTGAAAATACAAATAAATTTTCATTTCAATACTGAGCATTCAGCAACAATCTAACTACCTACTATAGGTAAAACTTGTCCCATGCAAAATAGGACTTACTATACGCCTCAGAAATTTATAATAATTAAAAAAATCTATCAACTACATACCTAATACAATAGAAATAGTTTAATAGTGTAAAGGTTAAATACATTGTTTAGTGTGATTTAATTATAATCATCAACCTAAATTGGCCACTCCATGACAAAGTGCGTAGACAATAAGTTACACGTCTTGTACCCAGTTACTTTATCTCGTCTAACAACGAATTCATTATCTTTATTCAAATCTGTTAATGCCTTTGTTTATTTATGATTTAGTATTGTAGGCATTTTGTGGTATAGGTAAAAATTCATATGTTTATCATTCATCCATCGCCATTCAATAATTTTATATATTTTTCAACTATGTGTAAAACTAATAGGATCGGATTTATGATTAAATAATAATTTCGAAAAGAGTGTGAAGTAACAGTGTGCAAAAGTGTTATTTTCCTTATGGTTAAAAGTTTTGACTATGAAGTATTATTATCATAGAAACATGTTGAAACGAAATAAAGCTAGTAAAATAATAAATAATTATTACTATTAACTACTTAATATCAATTTTATATGGTATTATAGAAAATAATCTGTTATCAATGAATAAATAAAACACAACTTACGTTCGTTTGAAGAATAGTCATTATGTTGAAGTAAATTATTATATTTTCTCAAACATTTTGTAATTATTTTGCGTTATAATGATAATTAGTACTTTTAATCTGATATTTATTAAGTGACAATTTTGGGTGTATTTAACTCCCAAAATTGTCACTTATTTTAACAATTAGATTTATTTATTTAGGGCATTTCAAACACAGTATTATACTATATCTACTTATTTTGGACTAAATTATATATGAATGCGGGTGCTGATTGATGCAAAGGAAAGTTTCAAAGTCATCCTACTTATTTCTAGTTAATTAGGACAATACACCTTGCTCCATTGCACTTTTACTTTTTCTTTGTTTGATTGATATATGTTAAAATTATTCACATGCTTTAAGCCTTGATTAGTATCTCTTTTTTTTACTAATTCCACTGAAATAACCAGTATTGTTTATGAATATCAATAAGGAAAGGACAAACAATAATTTTTGCTTTTCTTTTACAATCGCTTTTTATTCATTCATAGGAACGATTTTATTAGACTGTTTAAATAGAAGTTCAGGAAAATTTATTTGAAATAATGTAACATAGAAATGTAATATTTGAATATTACTGTAGGTTTACAATAATTCATTCTTGTGTATGTAACTTAATTATATTCTTATTATTTATATTAATGTATACCAAGAAATTATACAAAACTGCAATTATTTCATGACACCTGATTTTATGATTAAGTTGTAATTAATTAATAATCTTGTTATACAAGGCTTAAAAATTTGTGCATTTGAATGTTATGTTTGATTTTATGAAACCTTAAGTGTTACTAAAGTTAACTTTAACCTTTCCAGTTTGTGTCTGTGATTGTTCCCATTTTATCTTTGTAACTTATTTATATTTAATAAAAGAAATTGCTTTAAATAGAAATTTATTTTTTTATTTACGCCAAGGAACAACATAAAATTTCTTAAGATTTATTAGGTACTGGACTTTATTTCAGAATGAACAAACATAAGTTTCTGTACTCAAAATTCGCTTCTGACATGATCCACATACGCACTACGGTTTCAGGCATCGACAGGTCGACTGTGAAGATTCTAAAGAATTTCATTTAATCAATTCATTCAAAATTACAAGACAAGAATTATGAATGATGCAAATAGTATGCCAGCAATTTATTTCAACTAGATGTATAGCGTTTAACTTTTTTGACTTTTTAACATCACGCCGTGCAGCTGTAACTGTCGAATCATTCTTCAATCAAATGATATTATTTCAACAAGACTGCCCACACAGACCAGAAATCAATAGACATTATTTCCAAGATAATTTTTATGTGGATAGTTATAGTAGCATATTATTGGTACAAAGTAGATAATATATAGCTAGCCAGCTAAAGTATTTTAATAAAATGTTAATCATTCAATAAAATGACTTCATTTTATGGAAAGGAATTAGATTTTTGTATCTTTTGGTAAATAACAGTCTTCAAGTTTCTCCAAGTGTTTTCTGTTCTGCTTCCAAGTAAGAAGGCATACGGCCAAAGAGCAATTTTTCTCTTTTATGTACATGCCGCTGATGTTTCATCATTGCATTCCTATAACCAAATGCCTTCCCACACATATTGCACACATGATTTTTAATTCCCAAATGATCAGCTTCATAATGTTTTCTTAACATTACATTTGTGTGGAAAGCCCGTTTGCAAGCATCACATTTAAATTGAGGTTCTTTGTGTTTTAACATATGACTGTTAAGGTTACTTTTGAATAAAAATCTTGCTGGACATTCTGTGCACATGTATCTATAGTCACCAGTATGAGTACGCATATGAGTTTTGAGTAACTCTGCGTATCTACCTCTATAAGGACAAAACTGGCACTTATAAGGAAAATCATCTCTATGCCTCAAACTATGGTTATGATATGCACAGCGTAATCTA